AGCAAGAGCACATACCGTACAACGAAGACCAGCAGTGTCATATACCATATATCCGGTTACAGATCCGATGATCTGGATCTCAGATCCGATCCAGATCCGATGAACATATCCATCGTCCGGTCCACAGATCCGCTTTGATTCTTATTTCATTTCCTGTTCATATAACTCTAACTATCGTTCATCTCCTTTCAGTATTCCCGTACACCGGTATACCGGTTATCCTTTACTTCCGCTTTGCTTACTGATCCGCTATGCTTACTGATCCGCTACACTTACGAATCCGCTTTTACTTGTACTTCATTCCCGGTTCATGATTCGTGATCCATCCAACTTACCAATACGCTCCACTTAGACTTTGCTTATACTTTCGTACATAGCCTCGCACCTTTGCTTATTGATCATTCTGTTAGCTATCCGTAGTATATAAACCTTTGTATATGCGCTGTAGTAGATCAGTTCGAATATCATCTTAGATTGCACTCATTCCGTCTGGACTCTAAGTCCCTCCGTTATCCATCCGGACTTGAGTACGCTACTCTTGTCTACTCCAAGACTTAGGATAGATTCCTATAGTCTACATATCCGCCTCTGTCTTCGGACAGTCCTCACCCGTTAGTTTCTAGTCCGGACCCGATCCGGATTAGCCGTTACTCTATACGTTCGATATCCGGAAGTCTTAACGGATCCATTGCAATACTTATTCGCAATACAAGACTTATCCGTTCGATACTTACCGTCTCACTAGACGCGATACTTTAGCTCTCTGAAATAAGGGGCAAGACTCGGGAAAGGGGCACAGCGCATGAGCTGAGGCCGAAGCCCTTCGGATCCGATACTACTTGAGTACGGTCTTAACAAGCAGCCGATTGGCTGACATGGCATAAACGATACGGACATGTAGCTATTACTGGCCTTAAGAAGCTATATAATGAAAAATTAGTAGAAGGCTTTAATGTCGATGGAAGCGAACCTTCATTTGAATGTGAAGCGTGCATACGCGCGAAACAAACTAGGGAATCTTTCCCAAAATCAGTAGATGAACGAGCAGAGAAACCATGCGAACTTACGCATAGTGATGTATGGGGTCCAGCTAGGACCCAATCCATAGGAGGAGCTCGTTATTATGTATCCTTCGTGGACGATTGTTCCAGAAGGTGTACCGTTGAATTTCTAAAGCACAAAAATGAGGCGTCGACAAAGGTAAAGGAATATATTGCCTACCTTGAACGACATAGAAATGAAACACCCAAAGCGATTAGGGTAGACAATGGTACTGAATATATCAATCATGAGCTGATAACATGGTGCAAAGAGAAGGGAATAGACCTACAAACCACGGCACCATATTCACCACAACAGAATGGTGTATCTGAGAGACAGAACCGAACGCTAACAGAATTAGCAAGAGCGATGATAACCGATAGAAACCTACCAGAGTTCTTATGGGCTGAAGCGGTTGCACACGCCGCATATGTGAGAAATCGGGCACCGACCCGAGCATTAGATCATATAACCCCTGAAGAAGTATGGAGTGGTAAAAAACCTGACGTGTCATACTTACAAGAATTCGGCGTACCTGTTTATGTTCTCCAGGAGAACGCCAATCAGTCGAAAATGCAGCCTAGGTCCTTGAAACAAGTCTTTGTCGGTTATGTGGATGGACCGAAGGCAATAAGATACTATGACGCCCGAACACGTCAGATACGAGTGAGCAGAAATTATAAATTTATAAGCTCACCAGAAAACTCTCCACAAAGCGCTAGTGATGTGCAGTGCGAGGGGGAGAATGATATGGGAGAATTAGACGCGCAGACATCAGGGGGAGCTGACGCGCAATCACCTATACAAGAACACTCCAAAGATGAACGGCAATCAGATATACGAGAACACTTACCAGAAAACAACTCAGATAAGGATACATCCGCAAGTAATAAGCGGAAAGAACCGCCTGAGACACAAGAGATGCCCAGAAGAACTAAAAGACAGACGGTTAGAAAAGACTACCGCAAGATGAAAGAACCAGACTTCGAGGATGACGAGAATAATAAAGCTAAGTCATATGAAGTCAAAAACGGTGAACTGCCATTGCCAGAACTCACAGAGGAAGATATAGTCTTGATAGCGATGGTAGAAGGAGGACACATTGAACCCAATGAGCCAAAGAACCTAAGAGAAGCACAGGCGTCAATTGATTGGCCAAAATGGGAGGAAGCGATACGAGCCGAACTTACCCAGCTAAATGAAATGGGTACTTGGGAATTGGTAGAACCACCTGAGAATAGGACACTCGTCGGAAACAAATGGGTCCTGGTTAAGAAAACAAATAAAGAAGGCGAAGTTATTAAATATAAAGCAAGGTTAGTAGCGAAAGGATACTCACAAATTCCCGGTATGGACTACACAGATACTTTCGCACCGGTAGTATGTCTTGAGTCGATTCGATTGACAATGTCTGTTGCAGCTGCCCTAGATTGGGAAGTTGAGCAGATGGACGTAAAAGGAGCGTATTTGAACGGCACCTTAACAGAGGAGGTGTACATGGTCCAACCGGAAGGGTATGAAGACGGTACAGGAAGAGTGTGCCGACTTCGAAAGACCTTGTATGGATTGAAACAATCTGGATGTGAGTGGAACATTGAATTAAACAGTCGTCTAACAAAGATAGGATTTAAACGTACCGAGTCGGATCCATGCGTCTATATAAGACAGACCGAGACAGGCACACAGATCATAACAGTATGGGTAGATGATCTACTCCTGTTTGCTAATAATCCCGATCTTATGAGTCAGTTAAAGATGCAGTTAAAAGAGATATTGGATGTTACCGATCTAGGAGAACCTAAGAAAATAGTAGGAATTGAGATAACAAGAAACCGTGACGAGAAAACAATTAAGTTGTCTCAAGCACGGTACATAGACTCAATCCTGCAAAAATACGGTCTCCAGAACTGCAATGCAGTAGGTATGCCCATGGATCTGAAAGTCGTATTAGAAAAAGAAGATACCAACACAAAAGGCGAGCGTAGTAATAGTTACGCCTCATTAGTTGGATCTTTAATGTATCTTGCAGTGGCGGCGCGTCCTGACATCGCATATGCGATTCAGAGATTGAGCTCTTTTACCGCAAATCCTGGACTAACACATTGGTCAGCGGCAAAACGGGTATTAAGATATCTAGCAGGGACTAAAGACCTCGGAATTAAGTATCGAGGAACCGATTCCACAAACGCCAAAGTCAAATTTGAGGGATGGACAGACGCAGACTATGCTAATGACATCCGCGATAGAGTCTCAGTATCAGGATACGTATTCAAGCTAAGTGAAGGAGCCATTACCTGGAGTTCCAAGAAACAAAATGCCGTCTCACTATCCTCAACAGAGGCAGAATATACAGCAATGGCATATGGGGCGAAGGAAGCAGTATGGCTTCAATACTTGTTTGAAGATTTGAATTTGGCCCAAGAAGGACAACAATCCTATACGGAGACAATATGGCAGCGTTAGCGATAGCTCGAGACCCTCAACATCATGCGAGATCAAAACACTTTGATGTAAAAAATCATTACATCAGGAATAAGATTCGCGAGAAAATAATACAAGAGACATACTGTCCTACAGAAAGGATGATAGCAGATGTACTCACAAAACCGCTAGCTAAACCATCACATCAGAGACTCTCCAACATGATGGGCATGTCTCCAGATTGAGGGGGAGTGTTGTGACATAGCAATCAGCCGACATGGTTCGTGCACTTCCTAGCGGAGCTACGAGAGCATCTGAGTGGCGGAGTAGTTAGTTGATATAATAGATAAACGGAATCAGCCGAATATATTCTGCGCGCCACGAACTCCTATTATCGTCGCTGTTCCTACTAAGCCCGGAACCTAAATCTTAAGAAATATAGTATGGGGCGTGGCTGTTATTATAATGGCTGTATGGTGCAGGATATGCTACATGGGAATGAGAGCTATGCAGTCCGTGATGATGAGGCAAATGAAATTGATGCTGGTGTAATGTAGAAAATCGCCGAGATGCTGGTACAAATATTGCTGTGAGTTGGATGTACAGGAGGATTGCAATAAGGTATTTCATAGCATAGATCAGGACTATTTAAGTAAGAACCATTCGGATGTTCGCAAGAAGAACAATGAGAGCTATTGGCAGGCAGTGCCAGAACAGGTGGAGTTTCACTTTCGACGGGTGCGGCGCTGATGGCAGTCGGGTTGTCAGTGTTTGATGCGATGTTTCTCGCGCGCGTTCTCCCATTGCCAAACAGTCCGCTGCTCATATACATAGGCCGCCTGTGGGATCACTGGCAGTCTGGCACGCGACTCTCGTGATTTGCCTTTTGGGCGGCTATTTCATTGAGCCATGTCCGAGTCGTCGGCTCACTGACGAGTCGTCACAGCCAGTGGTAGTATTGGTTTAGAACTCCGCTACGGCAGCGCTCGGCTGGCTGTCACCAGCGTGATTTTGACGGCTTGCAATGAACTTCACCATTTCTCAACAAAAATTGATCGTTCAACCTCGCAATGAAAGGTGCATGATAGAAACATTGATTTAAGTTGTAAATTGTGTGCGGAAGTAAGAATTGAGTGAGATATTTGGGTCGTGACGACTTGTGGGGGTGACGACTCAGCCGTGAGGTATAGTAATACTATCACCAGCTGTGATTAAGCTCCTGATAATGTTCTGTCAAGGTATCATCAGGCCTGCTAAAGCCGCCTAAGGCTGCCTAAGGGCACAGAGTATGTCGCATGCCATATTATGATTCGGATGTGTAGGCCTAGAGCCCGTACGATCCTTGGCTTTGATTATTTCATTCTCCCCTGAGCGCTAGCCATTGATTGTCACCATGTTAACATATATTCGACATCCATGCACGTTGGGGAGGGAAATCACTTTAATGATCACCAAAAGCTCACCGGTCCGCCAAATTCGGCAGGAGTTGCCTAAAAGAAAAGCTCAAGAAAATACTTTTGGAGTGCTTTTCGATCAACCTTGACCACCTGGTGGCACATGCGCCATATCCCGAAGAGCCGCCTCATCAAACGTTTTATGATTCGGAACAAAAAACTATAGCTGCCCGAGGGTAGGCGACTTCATCTAGGCCACGTTCATTCTTAGACTAGTCCCATTACATATGATCACGTATGTATAATTTGCTATAAAGTATGTAACTCGGGCGCTTCATATTTTTCTGACCCCTCTAACTCATCAAGCCATGCTTGCCGCCGTTCTGCTGCTCGCTCTGCCGTTCTGCATCGCAGAGTCAGCTTCCAGTTATGCAGGATCAACCGTCGTTGATTCTTATCCTCCTCCCGGTGCCACCAACACTGCTGTTGACGGTTACTTCCCGGATGCATCTCAAGTCGGTTATGCAGGTCCAACGCCTAGTCAGTGATAATACTAATTATATTTCCTGTGTTCTAATCAAAAAATTCAGCTGGTGCTGAACCTGCGGCCATTGTCACTGCTATCCCGTTCTCTAAGGTCGAAAACGCATTTCCCTTGTCGAGGCCCAATTCAGCAGATGGCGCAGACATCACTTTCAATGTGATGCATCACTGGGGCAACTTGGCGCCCATGTACTCCGTGGAGTCGTTTGGTCTTCATGGTGCATCCCCCGTCATCCCGGAAGGGTGTGGCATCAACGCAGTGCATCTCTTGATGCGCCATGGCGCCCGCTATCCAACCACTGGCTCCGGAGTTGCTGACTTCGCCTCTGATATTCATGCTGCTGCATCGAAAGAAGGCTTCAGTGTCACTGGTGATTTGAAATTCTTGGCAACCTGGACATATAAGTTGGGCGCGGAGATCTTGACGCCTTTCGGCCGCGACTCGCTGTACGTTCGCTGTCCTTTACGATACTTCTACTGACACTCCCTTCCATCAGCTTCAGCAACGGGGTTGCTTTCCGCTACAGATATGGCGAGTTGCTTAATGCCTTCACGGACCTCCCAGTATTTCGTACTACTTCTGAAGGTTTGCCTGCATCGAACGTTTGTTTCACAATGGGCTCTGATGGCTTGCTTGTGTCGTACAGATCGCATGTTGGATTCTGCGTAAGAGAAATCCATTCATCTTTCTACGTGCGCTGTGCCTGATAATGCTATCGATAGCCTGAACTTTGCTGCAGGCTTCTTTGGGATCAGAACTTACGAGACCGACTATCACCAGGAGATTATCATCGAGGAGAACAACTTCAACAACACCCTCGCTCCTTATGATGTGTGCCCTAACGTCAATACGGAGGATGTCGGCAATTTCGGTGGCATTCAAGGTGATAAATGGGCGAATATCTATCTCAAAGATGCTCGAAAGCGTTTGCAACCAATGATCAAAGGATTTAATTTGACTATCTCAAGATTGGTTGATATGCAGGAAATGTGCGCCTATGAGGTAATCACATTATTTACACGATCTTCGTGGATTTCTGATATCCGACAGACCGTGGCCCTCGGATATTCCAAGTTTTGCGACCTTTTCACTGAGAAAGAATGGGAAGGATACGAGTATTACGTCGGTATGTTCCCTCGAATGATCCTTGCTTTTCCTTGCTGAGCTCGGCGGTGATCTACTTGCAGATCTTAGTGAGCACATTGAGCGCTAAACTTGTAGCCTGAGTGACTAATGACTTCATTGTGAACAAAGATTTCTGGTACAGCGAAGGACCGGGTAATCCAACAGCAGCAGCGCAGGGCCTTGGCTATGTTCAAGAACTAGTCTCACGTCTCACTCACACTCCCATCAATGTTTGGAACAGCAGCACCAACAGCACTCTTGACTCGAGCAACATCACATTCCCTCTTAATCAACCTATATATGTGGACGCTACCCACGACACGATCATTTCCAGTGGTATGTTGCCACTTCCTTCCTCTCCAGTGCAAGACTACTGACGGAAGGGCTCAGTCGTCACTACTCTGAACTTTACTAGTCTAGCTGCAACTGGTCCTCTGCCAACCGACCATATACCCCCTCATCGTGTACGCAGTCTTATAGACTACCGCTTACCTTGATGTCTGACCAGTCACATCAGTCTTACATTGCAAGCCAGATTGCACCTTTTTCCAGTCAGCTTGTAGCGCAGGTGCTCAGTTGCCCAGCCTCAGAGGAGCCGACTCATATCCGGTTCCTTCTGAACGATGGTGTGGTGCCACTGACGGGGATCCATGGTTGCACGGAAGATTCGAACGGTCTCTGCGCGCTGCCCAGCTTCATCAGCGGGATGCATGAACGAATTGGGGAGATCAACTATGCGCATGATTGCTTCGCCAATTATACCATGCCCAATCCCGACAACATAATCGATGGAAGATACCCTAGTTAAAAGGATGATAGGGTATGCCACCTTTTTAATGAACGTTAACCTCTATAATTACGCCACGTGATGACCATGTGCATGTCACCTCAAGGCTCACGTGTTTATTTCACAATTCATATGATCGATGATCAATGATCAGTGTATCCGTTCAACCGCGGATCCAGGTACTCTTCAGCTTCAACCTAGTTGTCGCTGTTTTTTTAGTAACTTTCTTCCCTTGGAACCTGTACATGAGCCCTTGTTGTTTGACCCTTAATATTCTCACCATATATCTTCCTTGAACAATTTAATCTTATTACTTAAGTAAAGGTTACCGTGGCGGATTTCAACAGGAAACTTTGTCACTATGATCGATCGGCAGCAGTCACGACAGCTCATCAGTCTCATTTGGTTCCAAATCAGGGAATTTAATTGCCAGATGGTCGCAGCCCCTGATGAGCAAAGACGCACCAGTAATAATCAGCGGCACCTATAATATTAATCAATTTAAACTGGAGGATGCGGGCGCAGGCGTAACAAGTCCACGGAATTTTTCTTCTTTCGCTTTCTTGGACGACCAGTATGGCAAATCTCCAGGAAAGTGCGGCCACTTTCGACTTCGATGATAGACTGGGCCTAGTCTTCATCGTAGAGGCAGCAACACTATCAGTACTGGCTATCACAACTCTTCTGGCATACATTACTGTAGGTATCTTATCCAACTTCCAACCCCACAGACTTACCCCAAGCCCACTAGTATAGCGCTGTCACAATTCGAATGGGTGCTACCCGCAGGTGGTCGACAGACACTCACGTTCATTATTATTTCTTAAATCTAATGCTCTTTGACCTCATTCAAGCAATCGGTGAGCCATCCATGTCTTGAAATCACGCGCTGGTGCCGCAGTCTTCTGACAATATCTCAGGGGGGATGTTCAATATTCTGTGGATTGATGCTGCTGTGGGTTTACACTTTGTATCATGACCCCTTAATAATACTGAGTTTGATCTACAGGGGATATACCCCGGCACCATATGCACTGTGCAAGGTATCATCCTTCTTGAAGTGGAACCTTGGGGCGCCCATTTATCACAATCATCACAGGTGCCTTCAAGCATGTGGGCAATACGGGGGCAGCTTTCAGGCGAGTCTGATATACCATTTGGTTTACATCTAGATGCTAACCAATTTTCCCGAAACAGCACAATAGTAATTACTTCCTGTCATGGTCCTTGCTTGTGCTAATTGGTTTCTACAGTTTATCGCCCTGCACACGATGCAGGTGCTGGTATTGAGGTGGAGTACCCCTCCAAAGGCAGCGCTACTTGGCTCAGCCATTATATGGGGAATCGTTGGCCTGATGGTTGGGATACCGAATATATTGATTGATAATTTCTATGGACCCACCGGGCATTGTACGTCCGCGGTTCAGCGAGTGAAGCTATCTACGCCGCTAAATAATTTTGCATTTTGACAGGGTGCTGGATCGAACGTAACAACTTCCAACGAATAGGTCTTCAATACTTGTGGATGTGGTTTGCGGCATTCATCACTATCGTTGTTTACATCTTCCTTGCTCTTGTGGTCAAACGGATCATTAGAGTTGATGGATACAGGATTCGGTGGACGTCGCCCGAGATCCGGAGTGTCACGCCGTCCGATAGTTCTGACCCTCGACAACGGGGGGATGAAGGAGCCATCGCGCTACGAATGCTTTTGTGAGTTTGACGATGGCCCAGTCAGTGGACCGTCCCTGATTTTTACTCTTCCAGTTATCCTGCGGTCTACATTGTCACAGTAGGTGGAGTTACTCATTAGCTATGTACCCTCTCATCTTTCGACAGGTGTTGCCTATCACTGCTGCCCGCTTCACCCAGTTTCATACACAAAAAGTCCCGTGGGGAGTGACTGCTTGGGCAGATACACTTCTTCTCTTGTCGGGATTCTTCAACACGATCCTATATACGCTGACGCGCCCAAAACTCCTTCCGCACAGACGTCGGTCGCCCTCGCGGGTTGTTCTAACATCCACGGGCTCAAACCAACAATTTGGTAGGACTACTAATCGGTTCCAAAACCACAAACACTATCCCTTCGATACAAAAACTGAAGAAGGAGAGCTCCCTCCTATGAGTTTTGAACTTGGAGAACCCCAGCGCTCCTCGTCAGAGTTGCGCTTTGCTCACCCTGTAATATCAAACGTCGAGCAATGATTGTCTTGTATTTTTATGGGACACGATTCCCGCCAATCATCCGTGTGCTGCTTCATGCTTGGATATGACAGTGCACAGAGTCCAGATTCCATACTTGTATTATAGTATATTTACTCTAGCTTTAACATGTAGATGACGTCCAGTTAGTGTTATATTGCAGTTGGTTTTGACTGGGGCTTGGAATAGGGAAATCCAATAGCAATCGGCCACTTCAGTGGTGGCAGTGTATTTGCTAAGTGCCTATGGCACAGGGACTGACTCGGTGGTCTCCGCAACCCCGTCAACACAGACATTAATATCGTCATGGGGTCGAGCCAGTCGACACCCAAGATCACCTCTCATGATCGAGCGATTCTCGAGTGCGTGGGCTTTCATAATTTCTCAACCAAACGGTAACGCCCAACAAGTGCATTTGTTCCGTAGTCTCAAACTTCAGCGCGATAAGCTAAAGCAATACCAGAAGAAGGTTTGACTACATAGTCACTCGTAGAGTGCTGCGTCCATGATCCTTTAATATAGATACAAGTTGTGCTCGACCGCGAGCATGAAATTGCGAAAGCCCATCTCGCTACCGGTCAGAAGGACCGTGCCGTCATAGCCCTCCGAAGGCGCAAGTATCAGCAGAGCTTGCTGCTGAAGACTGACAGTCAATTGGAGAATTTGGAACAACTAGTCCGTCCCATTCATATTGCTCAAATGTACGCTGAAACCCTATGTTCCTTGTAGGTGTCAACCATCGAGTTTTCTTTGGTCGAGGTTTCTGTCCTTCACGGTCTTAAGCAAGGCAATGAAGTTCTTCAAGAAATTCATCGCGAAATGAGTGTTGAGAGTGTTGAGAAGCTCATGGAAGAGACGCAAGAAGCGAGAGAGTATCAACGAGTATGTCATATTCCGTGCTACTTGTGCTGTGTTGAGGATAGTGTACAGGAAATCGGTGATTTGCTAGCGAACCGATTAACACATGATGAGGAGGATGCCGTCCAGGCGGAGCTCTTGGCATTACAAAGGGAATCGGTCAGTACGAGCTGTCGGACGTTATTTCGCCCTTTTCACATGATATATAGGTTGGACAAGCAGAACCTGAAGTGCGCCTGGATCTGCCATCTCCGCCGAGGTCGTTACCACTTGTTTCAGAAGGTCAGAGTAGTTCACGATTGTCGGACGGCCTTCATCCTCATTTCTATTTAGAAGTCCCTCTAGAGACTACGAGGGAGCGGGTTCCTGTACCTGGTTAGCACCTGCTAGCACGCATAGTATCACGGAGATTTTCATTCCGGTATTACTCATACCCCCATTTACGGCCTAGGCCTTCTCCAGACATTTACAGATACGATACTACAGTAGGACAGCAGATAATGATACGGATATTAGGCGTAAGGCTAGAGCAACAGTATCAGTCTACTACCAACTGTCAAAGTTTCCGAACCCTATTTTCCGCTTCTTTTTGGCATCGTCGCCAACGTCATTGGCGGCTTGTACACCAGGTGTTACCTGATCCAACGGCCTCTTGACGCTGAGATACTTGCCCACTCCCACTCCCACACCCGCGGCACCCGCACCAAAGACCGAGTCCCCAGTGCCGACTTTGACCCCAAACCAATTAATATCATCCCCTTGAGTCTTGTCAGGTTGTTTCTTGGAATCATCTTGTGCTTCTGCACGCCGAGCAAGTTTTCTTGCAAGCCGTGTTTTATGTGCTTCAAAGGGATCCTGATGTCTAGAAGAGAAGGTATATGGATATAGGTCTGGGCAAAAAAGCAATGCACGTACATAATGACTTCTGTTATCCGCACCGGCTTCGCTGGGCGTTCTGTTCCATCTTTACGAGGGAGTTTTTCCAGAGCATCCAGGACGTCGTCTCCTCCAACTAGCTTACCGAAGACAGTGTGCTTGTTGTCAAGGTTTGGCGTAGCTCTGAATGTGACGTAAAATTGTGACCTGTAGTGGCACTCGTCATTAAAACAGAAAACAAAGATAAACTGCCAGACGGACGTATTCGTGCCAGCGCCCTTGTTGGCCATGGCAACGATACCACGACTATCATGTTTAGCAGCACCTCTCATGTCATGCTCGTCTCGGAAAGGAGTACCCCAGTGTGACTCTCCACCAGAGCCTGTACCAGTAGGGTCACCTGTTTGCACCTACGGCGCTATGAGTATCCAATATTGCGAGACGATGAACGAAGAAGTACCATGAAGCCAGGAACAAGTCTATGAAAGAGGCAGTCGTCATACTTTCCTGCTCTTGCAAGCATGAGAAAGTTGTAACAAGTTTTTGGTGCCTGTGAGGGAGTGTTAGCCACATCAACATGAGCACACGGCACTGACCTTGTCACAATACAACTCCAGGTTCAACGAACCGCCCAAACTGGTCACGACCCGGACATATGCTCTTCGTTTCCCAACGTCTTTCTCTTTACCCTTACCCTTGGGAGGGTTCGACATTTCTTCGAACATCAGTTCTTCCTAGGTTACCATCAACAAGAATACTTGTCACGGCCAGGTCTTTTTGCTCACCTCGTCCCACAGTAGTTGTGAACTTTGTGTCTGAGGATCCACAGACGTCGACGTCAAGGATGCACCGGGTGCACCACTAGAATAAGGAGAAATGTTCCCTGACATAGTACTCAGGCTGAATTCTGTAGTGAAAAACAGTGGAGCTCACAAGGGACAGCGGCTTTACCCTTCACCTCAGAGACCGCTTTAACGGTAGCTGATTTGGGCTTCTCATCCTTCTTTGCAATGACGGTAGCGCCGGTATTGATTGTAGACGAGGGTGGGAGACCATGGGGGTTTTGCAATGTGATGACGTCCTCCCTGCAAGAGTAACGTTGAATCCAGAATGGTGAAGAAAGACTTAACCACTAACTTCTTGAATTTAACATCTTCAAGGAGATCCTTGCCGCCTTTGATACTTTCTGCAAGGAAAACATTTCCTGTGGTTGCAATTGCTACTATATGCGAGTGCTCGCTGAACGGCTTGAATGAAATTGGATCATGAATTTCGCCAGATGTCTTGCGCGAATAGTGGAGTGTTATCAGGTCACCGGGTGCGAGGGGCTCTTTTGTAATGGGATTTGTATTGTTATGTTGCCTTTGAATGGAAGCGTAAGACAGACGTCACCTTGCAGGAAGAGAGGACAACTTGCTTTAGCCAAGGAATAATGTTTACAAGGTCAAACACGAAGCCTGTTCCATCCGCGTTGCGGGCGCATACTGGATGATTAAATGGCTGGAAAGAAAGTGCACAACAGTCGAATGGTGTTTGCGCTCGAGGGTGCGGTACTTGAAGCTTTCTGTGCAAAACATGAGAACTCCATGATTTAGGCACAGACAAGACTTACGCTTTGTACCCGGACGAAGCAGAATGCTGTCCGAATTCGCCAGCATGTTCTGCATGTGTGATATAAAGTTTGTTAGAATTTCCGTGGCCCATATTGCAGTTGGTTTGAGATTGAGTGTATAATAACCTTCAAGTGAGTGGAGCACCTGATCAAGCTTCCGAATCTAATAAACGCAAACAAGATAAATCTCGCGAAGGTCCCCATCTTCGAATTCATCCTTTTCAGCTTGCAGATGCTGCGTCATGCCACCACAAAAGCAAGGCGGACTACTGTCGTGCTTGATTTCCTCGCGCCAACTGCGTTTGGATACCGTCTTGGTAGCTCCAAGGTGCAACCGCGACCTTCGGTGACGAAACCATCCAAAAGACATGACACGGAGAGACTCGCAGAATTTCCAGTCTCCGTACGTGCACAAAACCCAGCAATTCTTTGTCAGAACATCAAGCAACGTATCAGCTTACTGAGCCAGCCAGGTACTGCTGCTGTCTCCGACCCAGATATTAACTTCTTTGACGAAAAGGTCGTTGAGCTTCGTCTCGCTCTGAAGGCTGGTGACATCGCGCGAGTAGGAGAACTATGGTCGCAGTTGGAAGATAGAAAGCTGCTGCGACTCCTCGGTCGCGAGTTGCGTGGGTTTTCCGAGCGCGCTGCTCAGCTGTGCTTCAGGGACAACTCTGGGCCTTGGGACGCAGACGAGAGGAAGGTCATCGAGGGCATAGCCATTGCTGCCGCCTGTGAGGGCGCAGTCAATGCCCTCACGACTTGTATGATCAGACATATAAAGAGAGGCAACTCGCAGGCAGCCCTTCACCTGTACAGACGTTTCCTGGCGCACTCCAGCTATCAGACCGCGTCTGAGCCCCTACCATCCTCAACGCAGGAAGATATCGAGGATGCGAATGGGCTAGCTCTCAATTTTCTAGACGATCAGTTATCCCACCAACCCAATTTCTCACTTGTCCTCGCAGCAATAGCCGCATATGCACTCGAAGATTCATTCGAGGGCGCGCTGAAGATAATGCTCGAAAATCCTGTACGCATAAATCAGTCCGCCCAAAAGGAGTTCATGGCTTCATTCGATGACTTCTCGTTCCGGGCAAAAGTTCAAAGTTACGTCCACCGCGTGGACATAGCAAGACTCATCTCTCGCCACCACTCACTCAGCACTCATATCGCAAATCTCTCAAGCAATCAGGATCTTTCACAGATCCAGAATTTATACCGGGCGATCATCGAGGGTTTGAATGACCCAGAGCCATATCTCGCTGTTCGTGATTCACAGAAGTCCAGCCAAAGACCTGTCGTGATCCAAGAGATCAATTGGGCAGCATTCTTGACAGGGTTCTTGCGGTGCCACCGTCGGGACCTGGCGGAGAATCTCTGGAATGACATGCTTAAATATGGTGTCCAGCCTAGTGTTATAACCTGGACAGCACTCTTGGACGGGTTTGATAGCATGGGGGAAGCTGATGCCGCTTCCACCAGTTGGGATAACATGGTTTCCCAAGGAATTCGACCGGGAATTTTGACATATCGCGCTGTCATCTCGACATTGTTTAACGCTCGGAGACCAGATGACGCCATCGAGAAATTCGCGATATTTAAGCGAGAAATTGCCAACGGTTCGTTGCCGGACACCGAGGACGCATTGCCCGTGTACAATACAGTGCTGCATGGTCTTCTCAATAATGGACGACCTGGGGATGCCGATGCGCTACTGCAGAATTTACGGCAGAAGGGCCCAAAGCCAGACATCGTTTTCTACAATACCTTTCTGCGTCACCATGGCCGCAGAGGCGAATTCCGTGCAGTATCAGTGTTACTCGAGCGTCTCCGAGAAGATGGGTTGACGGGCGATGCGTTCACGTTTTCCTCTGTGCTTTCAGCTCTTCTCAAGGTCGGGCGTACTGACGCCATTGATATCATTCTGAGTCTGATGAAGAGACAAAATGTGGAGCCCAACGTCGCCGTCTTCAGCGCGATCATAGACCAACAGCTTCGCGAGTCCTCGGAGCAAGGTCTTAGGACGGCAATGGAGTTACTTCAAAAAATGGAGACGAATCCTGATGCCCAACCCAATGACGTGACATATACAGGTGTGCTTGCATCCTTGCACCGCCAGGTATGGCCCAACACCGCCCTAGCCGAGGAGTGCAGGAGATACGTCCTTAAAGGGATGAAGGAGCGAAACATCCGGTCTAATCGGGTGACCTACCACATCCTGATCAAAGCATGTTTGGAGAACTCGGAACCAGAAGGGTTGAAAGGGGCATTGGGCTACTACAGGGAGATGGCAAACCGGAAAATCCCAATGAATTATGATACATGGTATATCCTATTACATGGGCTGATTTCGAGAGAAGAATGGGCAGTTGCAGATGAGATGGTAGAGGACCTCCTGAGGTACATCAAACCGGTTGGGGCATTGGAGAGCCTGGTTGGTAGAATTCAACGACGGACAACTTGGAGGATGAAGTTAGGACCAAAGGTTTATCTCTGAAGTAGACATACTTACAATATAATACGCATCATTCATCGCGAGAAGAATGACCATGCCAAAGGCTTCTCGCCCATGAAAAATGACTTGCCGAGACCGACACGAGTGTAACGATCATACACTGCAAGACACGTTGTTCGTTAGTGTAGATAGACATGATGCATTTGTACATACACCAATAACTACATCTCCTGCCAAAGTACTTGCCCACCCATGGCAGTAGTAAGACGAGTGCAAGCTGCTGAAGCTCTTCTAAACTCTCGTTCCACTCTTTCTGGGCCAAGCGATAGTCTTCATCAGAATCATATGACGCATTTGATGAGGAGTCTGAAGAATGGTCCGAGCGTGGCATGCTTTAACCTGGTTTTGCAGCAGTGCAGTATCTTGACGCAATGGTCTCCAAATGAAGTAGCTCTAAGTTGACGGTGTTGCCACTTTAAGTGGCGCTGCACGTACGTTTTGCCATACACCACTTTTAGGCATTAGCGGTTTCCCTGTTTTCTCTCCTTCCTCCTTGTTGTCAACTCTCTCCTACTATCACCAGTCCATGAATTATGGTGGATGTTGCTCTTACGCCCTCCCGACGCAAATTAGTTGGGCAGCCTCTCCTCTATGCTATTTCCGTATTCGCTAGTTTGGGTGTCTTCCTGGTACGCTACGTCACAAGAGGCACGAGACATTGAAAACTAATCATTGGTGCAACTTTCTAGTTCGGATATGACCAGGGGTTCGTTAGACATATATCTCACTGAATTACTAGTTACTGAGTCCAAGAGCAGCGTCATGTCAGGTATCATCACCGGTCCCTATTTCAAACAGTTTTTCAACACTCCTGGTCCCATTGAAATTGGTACCATGGTCGCGGTTCTCGAGCTTGGCGCACTTGGTATATTTTTTACATATCAATTTTATGCTGTACAATAACATTCCGCAGTCACCTCGATTGCTGCTGGTCGCGTCGGCGACATAATCGGCCGGAAGGGGACCCTCTTCACTGGGGCTGTCGTTTTCACCATTGGTGGTGCTATTCAGACATTCACCACAGGTTTCTACGTTATGATCGTTGGTCGAGTGATAAGCGGTTGTGGAGTTGGGCTCTTGTCGTAAGTCCTCAAGGTTCAAACTTTTTGCAAGTGCTCAGCGCGTTTTTCAGGACGATCGTTCCTATATATCAAAGCGAAATTTCTCCACCCAATCATGTAGGTCTCAAACTTCACATGTTTATTGCTCCTAATTTTGTTTGTAGAGAGGCGCGCTTGCGTGCATGGAATTCACCTGTAATGTTTTCGGCTATGCAAGCTCTGTTGTAAGTCGTATTACATTTATGAAGCTGACGAGCTGACATTCCTTGAAGTGGGCGGATTATTTTTGTTCATTCATCGAATCCGATCTTTCTTGGCGTATCCCCCTTTTTCTGCAATGTGTCATTGGAAGCATCCTCGCTGCGGGAAGCCTGATTATACCCGAGAGCCCTCGGTATGCCGTCTCTCATTGTTGCGATGATATGCACTGAAACTATACAGGTGGTTGATTGACACTGACCAAGATGTTGCCGGGATGACTGTTATCGTGGATCTGCATGGAGGAGATCCTAATAACATTCTCGCTCAAGCTGAATTCCAAGAAATCAAGGACAAAGTCATTTACGAGGTGCGCTAATGGTTGGTGCAGCAATCATCATTTTTACAATTCAACATCACAGCGTGAACTTGGGGAAGGACGATCATACGCTGTGATGTGGAAGAAGTATAAGCGACGCGTGTTGCTTGCCATGTCTTCCCAAGCATTTGCTCAGCTGGTAAGCTTCTACCATTTTACCCACCCACATCATGCCGTCATGAACATGTCTTTCCCAGAATGGAATCAACGGTAATGTGTCTGCCTTTGTGCGGCTTTCATGAAACTAATGAGTCGAAACGATAATCAGTGATTAGCTACTACGCTCGTACGCATTTTATTTCACACCAAAGTGATCGTTGACTGATCAGTGCGCGTTGTTTAGCATCTGTTTTTGAAGGTACGGGTGGATGTAATTTTTTCTGGCGAAAATCTCATTGAAACACAGAGGCCGGGTGGCTTGGCCGTGATGCTGTGCTGATGACGGGCATCAACGCCATCATTTACACTTTGAGCACCTTACCCCCGTGAGTGGCATCCTGCCAACGGTCTTGTTAGGAAGGCTAAATGCTCCTGTAGCTGGTACCTCGTAGACCGTTGGGGTCGTCGCGTTATCTTGCTTTCTGGTGCCGTTATCGTTGGTTCCTTTTCTGATCAACGGCCTTCAAGGTACTCACCGATATGTAGATGGGCATTTCTCTGGGCCTCACTGGCTGGTGGATGTACGTTGACATACCAGCTACACCCAATGCCGTGGTGATCTGTGTTATTGTCTTCAATGCTGCATTCGGCTATAGGTAAGCTTTCGCGGCACATTTCTGAGCCTTCGATTTGATATTGTCTTAGTTGGGGCCCTATTCCGTGGCTGTATCCCCCCGAGGTGATGTTCTTTCAGCAATAGCCTAATAAGATGCTGAATTTGCTTCAGATCATGCCCCTCACATTCCGTTCTAAAGGTGTATCTATATCAACCGCGACCAACTGGTGAGCTCGAAGCATCTGTCACACGTCAACCAACTGACACGGCCAGGGCATTCAATTTCATCGTCGGAGAGACGACCCCATACCTCCAAGAAGTCATTACATGGAGATTATACCCTATGCATGGGTTCTATTGCGCATGCAGTTTCATTCTCGTTTATTTCTGTAGGTAGATGCTCTTGAATGCTGTTTTCCATGCTCACTGATTGAACGTAGTGTATCCCGAGACTAAAGGCGTTCCTCTCGAAGAGATGGATGCTGTGTTTGGTGAAGGTAAAGTTTTTCCAATCTCTTCCAGTCGAACGGTATTGATTGTATCTTTGCAGAGGAGAGGCTGGATTATGAGTCCGAGCGGGCGTCTCTGATGTCCAATACCCGCAGCCCTTCGGTACGTTCTGGCCCTCGACGCAAGGCTGCCACAGAACGTGGATGGGTTAGCCGGCTACTCTACCGTGATGACAGGAGTACATACCAGCCCATCGGCGAGGGCGATGAATAGGAACTCGCGAGGATTGAAAGCGACCACGTGGAGGCGCACGAAGAAGATTTCCATCACGTGAGGGAGCAGCTCTCTCCCTCCTTTTCTTCACCTACATCTCCTATTGCTGCTGCAGTTGCCAATGGAAGTGCTATTTAATTGCGAGACAGTATGCTAGTGTCGCATGCGGCAATGTTGCTTTTCTGGCATGCTACTTTCATTTATCACCAGCAGTTGTGCCTTTCAATCCTCATGATACGCTACGTACTGGCTCACAATTACGACTTCACTTCATTGACACCATTTGTGCATCTTCATTACTGTATACTTCAAATCACAATATGATTTTTTTCTTCCGTTCTACTTATATTGCTCTAGTAATGTCACGTGTCCACATGAATTTTCCTTCACCTCCAACAGTCGCGCCGTTATATCGCAGTTGGGCGCGTCAGTCAGTCTGCAGGAAGCATGAACTGCTTCGCTATATGAGCCGTAGCTCGGATGCACATACCAAAGAGCTGTTACCCGTGAATAGCACGGGGCAAGCTCCACGGGATGTAACCTTCGAGTCCCTTGGAGTGGGAACACCAATTGCGGCAGCTCTCCGTGCTGCATTCCCCGATGTTCAGAAACCCACGACAATGCAGCGCAAGATGATATCTGCTGTGGTGGGTAGGCAAGATATTCTCTTGCAGGACTTCACGGGTACTGGAAAGTGCGTACTTGTCGCTGAATGCCGGCCAACTTAAACTAACGTCCTTCAAGGTCATTTGGATTGCTACTTGGACTCTTGAGCAAACCAAGGATATCTAGATACGATGCAAAAAAAGGAAAAGACCATGCAACAAAGGGCATCACAACTCTCCTGATTGTCCCCCACCGTGACCTTGCATACCAATTTTTGCACTGGCTACACCACATGTTGACGTCTGCGGGTGAACCTGGTCCATATTCGCTCGCTTCGATTGCACAGGTGCTAGTCCGCGGCTCACCACCCAAAAACCTCACAAACTCATCTCCTCGGATCCTGGAAGCGATTGTGAACCCATCGTCATCTGGAATATCCGTGCTCCGGGATTATCCTCCGCATATACTCATTGCCACGCCAACTGCGCTTATGGACGTGCTTCGCGAGGAGCCGGAAGTGCTCCAGTTATCCACGTTATCGACTGTCGTCGTCGATGAGGTGGACTGGCTTCTGAAAGCGCCCCAGAAAGGCTTGAAGTATGGCACAGAAAAAGAGGCGCGGTTAAAGCAGAAGCAGCATCCTGAAGTTCTGAAGACTGTGCTAGATGTCCTCTATACGAACACGAAAACGAATGCCTCAAACCTTTTGCGGAGAGATCTTTTGAAGATGAAGTTGGCCCCAATCGATCGGCCGCAACTGATCATGCTCAGTGCAACAATGCGAAATAGGCTGAGGACGTCTTTCTTTGGCGCTTACGGGTGGTTTAAAAGGGGGAAAGTGCTGAAGCTTATTAAAGCTTCATCCAGCTCACGTCCGGCTCACGGTCTTAATCGCACGATCACACATCATGTTCTTGTTATGTCGCAGGATGGCTCTGTGAGAAATATAGCTGGTGCTCGTAAAGCTCGAGCCCCCACACCGTCGGACTCCTCTGAACAGACGAGTTCTTTTGGAGAACAGGACGAAGAAGAAGAGTTTATTTTTGATGAAGATGATGAAACACTGCTCGATGATGAAACTAACGCGAGTGGGGATGTTTTGGTTTCACATTTCTATTCGATCATTGACAATTTGATTTACGATCAGATATGCTGCAAGCTTCTCCTGTTTTTAGTCCGGGGATGCTTGAAGCCGTTGCATCCGCATTCGCTCTCGACGTACCAAACATTGCGCTTCTGGTCGTACCTGCAACTACATCCGTCCGACGAGTTATTTTTGACCTGAAACAACTCGGGGTGAATGCCCATGGCCTGGATCTCGTGGACAATGAAGCCGGACGGGGACACCTTCTGTCTAAGGATAGGGATATTCCCGATGAGAATCCCACCTTGCTTGTATCGACGCTTGCAACTACTCGAGGGATCGATTTTCCTGCGCTAACCCACGTTTTTCTCCTTGGCCTTCCGGAAGGACGCGCGGGAGATGTTTACCAGCATGTCGCAGGGAGAGTTGGCCGGTTCGGCCGCCGAGGGAAAGTGATCACTATCGTGGAAGGACGCCGGGAGAATGAGGGGGAAAGGGGTAAAGTTTGTGTCAGGGATGATTCGAAGAAGATGGATATAATGCTGAAGAAGCTTGGTATTGGTGCAACAAAGCTAGAGCATTTCGACTGACAGAAGCAGGCGCCGGCAGAAATATTTTGCAAGTCACACCGTGACCGTGCCCGTCGGTAGATTAGATATCCCTAGGGAAACACGGGTTGGGAACCGTGGTATTCGGATGCGTAGGATTGGAGTATGGTAAACATGAGTTTTGATGTGGCGCCGTTGTGTGAGTTATGACGGGATTATTAACGGCGGTAGTATGCTGTTGGTTGCTGTCTTGCACGCGGATCAAACCAATCATACATCCAAATAGGACCACTGGCATGATGTAACTTTAGTGTGAATGAATCCATGAATAGCCTATGAGTGGCTGACTCGCTAGCGCCGAGGGCAACCTAGCCTTGGCCTAGTCTCTTTCTCTCTTCCACCGAGGTTAACGTATACCCTGTCCTGGTTCTAGTTCGGTTAAGTCACTGTTCTTGCTCATCGTGTTCAACGATGGCGAGAGCACCATCTGCCTTATGCCTTATGTTATGTCTTCTACTTTCCTCGTCCCTCTTTTTTCAGGTTTCAGCTCAGTCTACAAACCAGACCACTGCGAGCAACGGTACACCTTCTCCCACTGTCTCTGCAAATGTTACAACGTTCTTGACGACTAGCTCCTACACCTCAACATATGTCAGCCACTCAGGGAACATTGCGACCACTATCACCACCGTATTACCCACAGTGTACAATGCGACAAGGACTTCATCCACGTCAACATCCTCATCCTCATCCTCAGCTTCATCCACCCCAACTCCCATCGTCCTAGCTACTACAATAACTCCAGCTTTCGGTGTATTGGGAGCGATCCTCATCATAACTGGACTACCGAGTGCGTTCTGGGGCCACAAGAATAGATGGTAATTCTCTCATCCGTGGATCTACCAGTTTCTCACTCACACCATGTAGGACATCTTTCTTCCTAATTGGTTTCTATACCCTTTCATTGGTCTGTTTCGTTCTTATCGTCAAATTCGGCATTCTTCCCGCGATCAACCCACCGAGCAACACACTCCAGGGCATGTTCGTATTAGCCTCCGCCGTTGCTGGTATCATGGGCGGCGCCTTCACAATCTTCTTTTGGAAGGCCACTAAATACTTCATTGGCGCATGGGGTGGTTTCGCTTTCGGACTATGGATACAATGCTTTAAAAGTGGCGGTCTTATTACCCCTGTTGGCATGAGATGGATTCTGTATATAGGTAACTGTTTCCTCCGTAGTCCACTTTGCTCCCTGCTAACTTGTCACTCAGCATGCAGCGTGGTTGCATTTGTCCTATGCACGATACCCAAGATACATTGGCATATGCTTCTGGTTGCGACTGCCTTTGTTGGCTCGTCCGCCTTCATACTCGGCGTGGATTGCTACACCACAGCTGGCTTAAAAGAGGTTTGCGTCATTTTCCATAGTCAGCTCATGATAACTCACACACAACGGTAGTTCTACGTCTGGAATCTAGGTTTCACCTCCCTATTCCCGAAGTATGTCGATAACAGCATTGCATTCCCGGTAACACAAACTATGGAAATCGAACTTGGACTCATTGGAGCGGTCACTCTTATGGGCGGAGCCGTTCAGCTCCGCATCCTCCGCGTCTTGCAGCGCAAACTTAAGGAAATTGCTCACGAAGAAAAGAAGCGGGATGAAGAGGCCGAAATCAACGCTGCCGGTAAATTCCAAGAGCTCTCAAAGGAGCAGGAGGAATGGGAAAACGATCACCCACCACTTGGAATGCATGCCCGGACGGCCAGTGGCTACTCTGGGACTCCTTTAATGAAGGATTTCCCCACCAGAGGCTCTCAAGATGGGCGGGCTTCCATGTTCACGTTGGTTGGCGGGCGTGGTCGCTATACATCGGGAGTGTCTGACTTCATGGCTGCTCCCACCCCTGACGAAGATATCAAGCGGATCGCACGTGATACCCAAGCGCCCGGTGTCTTGCCTGCTCTTGATCTTGGCCTTGGAATTCAACAGGATGTCCCTTCTGGGTTCATTACTGATAACGATCCTGACAGCAGTGATACCAAACACAGCGATGTGAGGAAAGCTGTCTCATTGGAGTTGGAAGATCTTGCACGCAAGGAGGAGCTTCTAGCCGAAATTCAAACCATCAGACGCTCAATCGATGCACTCAGATCGGAGACACCTGGCCTTGACTCGGACGACTCCCGCTCTCGTCGTATCTCTCTGACCTCTCGCCGCACCCTTAGCTATGACCTTGATAATGCTATTGCTCCACGTCCACACACTCGCCCACCCAGACAGCCAGATCCACGCGGCCGTGCACAATCCATGGAATTTTCCAAGCTAATAGATGCGCCTCCGCTTGGTGCATCTATTGGCCGTCCTACAAGTGTTCCTCTGCGCGATGATGACTGGGACTCGTACGTTCGTGACCGTAAGCTCCTACAACCACCGGCTGGGGTGACTGCACCCATTCCAACGAGCCGTATGTCCACGACAGGATCACTATCTGCACAACAACGCCTACCTGTCCCGTCAGCTGTCACTGAAGCCCTCTCCCAAAGGAAACGCCGGGAGAGTTTGTTGGACCCTGGTGTTGGTCCAGACACAAGCGCGAAAGATACGTCGGACGAGGATATGCCCATTGCCACCCTTCCAACAGCCCGCGCTCACACAAAGAAATCCAAACCACATACCAGCAGCATGATCCCAGCTGTGTTAGCACCCTTGCAGCCTCCTGCATCTGCCACACGTTATCCTCCTGCCATCCTCTCCAGGAGTGCCCCATTGTTACCTGAGCTCGAGCGAAGCAACATACCGATCGTCCTTCCTCCCACTCGACCATTGAAGGCTGCGGTCGCTGAGCTCCCCAGCAATATCCCCGTGATCATTCCTCGTGGACAAAGTGCAAACATCGCAGCTCCAGTTGCCCAGAGGCCAGAACCTCAGCGTGTTGCGACGTTTGAGGAAATGGAGGAACGGCATCGGGAGAAGATGCGGGGTCTCCAAGCTCCCATCACGGAGGCTGAGAAACAAAATGCGGAGGTCCAGGCTGCCAAGCATCGTTGGGAGCGCTCAAAGGCAGTGGAGCGGGAGGCGGTAAACAGGCGGCATGCTGAGAAGGCCGCAGAACTTGCACGAGAAGAGAAGGAGAAGTTGCGGCGCAGGTCAGAGGACGGTCTTGGCAAGGTGGGATCCGAGGACGACAAGAACCCAGAACGTCGGTCTAAGGGAATAAACGCTGACAAGCTTGCTGCCATTGGCGGTGTCAACAACCCATCGTCGTCAAAACGCCAATCGGTACTGAGGGTGGAGGATTGGCAGCGGCTTCAGCAGGATGTGGAGCTTGGAGTTCGCCCCGAACGCGCTGCTGGCACAAAGCGGGAGTCTCGCAGGATGAAGACTGAGGCCAACGCGACTGTTCCATTCCCTGGACAAAGTCGCCCGATGGACAGACGTCGTTCTGCCGGAGTTCCTCGCGACCCTCCCAGTTGAGCCTGAAATAGTGTCAGATGTCAGGTGCTATGGTCACGTCACTCTCATTTTCTAAGACATATTGGACGTTCATGGACATATTTTTACGCCTGTCGTTTCATTAGGGTATCCACATGTCTCTTGCGACTTCGACAACTTTAATATTGTTTTCTTACCGTCTATCCCCCTTTTCTTGCATTATGCATATGTAGAACCATTGTAATACATATCGCACGACGATTCAAGTCTGCGTATGTTTTGTAGGTAGCTGCATACGTGACTTCATTTGATCAATTCTAGGCATTTGAGTACCTTTGTGCCTTGAAATGGCTGGCCCCTCTTATGCGAGGTCGCGGAGTTTGTAATATACATTGGGGCGAACAAGTTTTGAGTTGCATATATGGAGCTGCAGCTCAACGTCCCCCATAGAACTGGCTCACCATGGCCATCCGTCGTTCCAATACCGCACCTCAGTCTCTCGAACATCAAGTTCGACCTGGTCTAGCTAGGGCAAAGTCTGCCGTAGATGGCTTCATTCCCCGCTTAGATCAAACGTCGGTACCCGCATCATCCCACCACAGTTTAAGCGCCTTTGTGGCAACGGCGGCCTCCCCGCGCGATAGAAAGGATCCTTTCAGTCTTACGGACTTTTTCCCCGCCTCCTACCTTTCATCTCCGGGGGAGCATTGGGAGTGGTTACGGCAAGAACAAACGTTTGAACCTGTTGACTAATGAACTACAATCGGAGGGTGTTGATGGTTCGTTGCCTGACACGCCGGGACCCGTCATGTTCGCACGGGGGGCAGAAGATGAGATAGAGCAGACAATCAAAGGGGAGGATAAAATGGGCGTGTTATCAGTACTTAGTAAGTCCGATCCAACCAATCAACTGAACATGAGTTGATATGCCAAAGATACTATTTTCTTGACAGAGGATGGGGAGGATGAATCTATTGATCATGAGTCGCTATACCTTGCAATTGGCAGACTTGGGCAAGCAGCTGAGAGTTCTGGATCTACTTGGTGGCCTATACGCTGGGCATTACATGCAATGTCTAGTATAGTTTAGATTGTTTTATTATTATTATATTATTTATATAAAATTCTCACGATTACACGTGTTTGTAATTGTTTTTTCTCACGTCTTAGTTGAAATCTCTCTTCTTTATTTTCCCACCTCTCTTCCTCGATTCCCACAGCTGGCTACCAACATCGGGCGGGAAACTGTTATGAGGACTTTCCATCCTTACTCTTCTTCACACATCCAAATGCCCGAAGCTGCTCTTCAACAGCAGCTGAATAAAAATTCAAGCACTTCATCTCCAACATCACCCATACAATCTACCTTGGATTTACTTGTAAACCCTACCTCTTCTCCTCCTCATATACTTGCCAATAAAGTTGGTGAACAGTTTCAGCATTCAAACCATATTCAATCATCAAACAACAATGCTATTCCTAATTCACAACCTCCAGTAACTTCCGCTCCTCCTTCTATTCTCTCTAACACCGATCCGAACGCGTCTCTTCAATCTCTACTTGCCGCGAACCGAAAAGATTCAGCAGCTCCGGATTCATTACATCAATGGGGTATCCCCCCTGTCCAACCTTCACCTCAGCCACATCATTCTTCCCCCCATCTTACACCCACATTAGTCCAGGTAAGTACAAAGTGCATCACTATAGTGTAGCACTCATATATGTACACCAAACAAGTCTTCAAACGGCAAGAGTGGTAAGCGCAAACTCGACGAGACAGAGCCTGACGATCCACACCCAAAAATTCGTCGGCCTGTTGTTCGCGAACATGTGGCGCAGCAGCACCAGCATCCTCTACTTCAAATGACAACCGTCATGTGCTTGCACGCCGCTGTTGCACAGAAATCTTATGGTAGCGAGAAACGCTTCCTTTGCCCTCCCCCCGTCGTGCATATTCAAGGTCCTGTATGGCAAATGCGCTCCCAACAACTCGCCATGTCAGTTGTCTCCGAACAGGGTGAACGATCATTGGACCAAAAGACTAATTTGGACAATAACATGACCGGAAGCTTCAAATTCTTGCACGTGACCGGCACTGCAAAGGCAAAGAGCTTCCAGTTGTCCCTCGACATAATAGAGCCTCCTCCTTCTGCTTTATCAGGCGAGAGCAGCGCTGATGGAACGCCAGGACGTGTTTGGGCCACCTTTGATTCAGCTCCTGTAACCATTATATCTAAACCCTCGAAGAAGACAGCAAAAACGCGTAACATCTCTTCGTGTATCCTCGCGGGAGGTCCTGTGTCTCTTTTCAACAGGATCAATTCACAGACTGTACGCACCAAGTATATGACTATCGACAACTCTCAGCTCTGTGCAAGTAATGTCACTTGGTCTGCGTTCAATGTGAACGTAGTGCGACGCCCCGATGACGCGCCGCCCACCAATGGTGCGTGCTCACGTGACTGGAAAGTATTATACATGTTTTACTCACGTTCACGTTCAGCCGGTCCGCAGCCTGTCACTTACGGCTGTGAGGTTGTCCTTTCCGACACATTGTCTAATATCGCCACGTCACCCCTTATCATTCGCAAAGTAGACAAAGGTCGTGTATCTGCTGAGGATGGTGGACCTGTAAGTCAGATGCAGAAAATTGCTCTGCAAAGAGTAAATCAGGATGGCACAAGACATTATTTGTCTGCCGCCGGTCCCATCCCCGGCGCTCCGAACTCTACCCCATCAGTCCCAGGAGCACCGACTCAGGGTGGGACACACCCCTTGATCTTCCAATCGCCTCGCATACGAGATGAGATGAAAGATGGCGTGCGAACCTTGACCGATGAAGTAGATGACTATTTATGCTGGACAATTGTGGGCATTTGTGGGTACTTTTCATTGAGCCGTTGGATTGCACTAACAATGCTGGACCATAGCCAAGTTCCAGTATACATTCTTTGATGCGTTTGGTCAACATAGTAATTCAATACCCGAAATGCCCATCACACCCTTTCCGACACTATTCACGGCACCAGTGTACCGACCAACGAACAACATACTCGAAATGACCGTGTCGCACTTCTTCTATGAAGACCCAAAGACACGGACACAGATGCCACTGACCGTGTATTTAGGTGGCCTTGGTCCTCTCAGAGCTCGTTTCTATCAGGCTGCTCCCCCAGGACCGTTGACTAACATTGCCGCTTTCGGTGCTGCTATGTCCGGTTCATCTAATGAGGTAGTGGTGGGTGGAGGTGAAGACGTTGCAAATTCCCCTGCCGACGCTGCATCACGATATCTCACTCAGCCACCTTTGCACACCATCGTGACAGTAGAGCTGCCTTCATTGGCTGAGATTATGAAGGCGCTCGAAGAGGATGTAATGACTCCGAGCGTGATGACTCCAGATGGTCTCATCCATCGGCAATCACCGCAACATAGCGAACACGGAACACCGCTTGACGGGCCCAATGGAAGTAGTTCACAATCACACCCTCCACCTTCCATTGCTGGCCGGAGTCTTCCCCTGTTGTTCATTCGCGCCTCGGATGGTATTGGTTATCACTCTGGACGAACGATCAGTTGCGAAAACGTATTTCAGGCTATGGAACTAGGGTCGATGGCACCTGGTGGTGTTCTAGCACCGCCAGGGGGGTCAGCTGATGCTAGCTGGCTTGCTGCGGCGCAGGCTGCGGCTGCGGCTGATGGAGGTTTACATGGTTGGACGTTAAGAGTAATGTAACATTGATTCAGATATGCTGTCGTCGATTCTCGTTGCTTGTTGCTCTTCGTTCGCTCTGTCTTTTCTTTCAGATCATTGCTGTCGTCAAGCTCCCGAATTCTAGCACTTCCCGTACCTACCCTTCTTTCTACCGGTTCATTTTCTTGAGTGGATTTCTGTAAGCCAGACATGCTGGCAAGGTTTTTTATCGTATTGTCAATTCATGATGGGTCCATATTTGCTAGCTTAATTACAATACTTGCTAGCTATCGTCCGATATGGCTCGAACGTTCGTGTCAAAATGTTGCTAGGTGGCGGCCTGGCATGGGTACGACCCACGATCGAGGAACGAGCGATTGGTGCGGGCTCAATCAAGGAAACAATTAATAAAGCCATACAATCGATGAGATCAGTTTATTGATTAAAGGAATAGATAAATACACTAGCGAAACGCACTAGTGGAAATTTGGTGGACATTGAATATTCCTCCCTTAACCGCGCCATCATCAGGTAAGTCCACCGAACCCGAGCAAAAACCACATCGTATGATCCGCACTGGTTTTTTCTTCTCTAGCGCTAAAAGACTTATATCTTGTACGAGTGCTGATAATTATCTTTCTTCCTCAGTCCAGTGCACGGTCTCAAATTCACATAATCGATTCTTATCCAATATCGCCAGAACCAACAAGATGTTCACCTACGATGGTATCCGATCGCAGCTCGAGTGGAACTCCACCTTGAGCGTCTCCAATGCCCCCCAGCCCACAGCTGACACCAAGTTCCTTCGCAAGGTCAGTCGTCTCCCAACCTTCCATCCTTTGTCTAATTACAACCTTGCAGACTTCGATCATCGCAACTATCGGTGCGCGATCTGTGTGATCGTCGATGTTTAGTCGATGCTGATTATTTCTAGGTCCGAACACGAACACCGTCGAGAAACTTGCTGCCCTGAGACGCGCTGGTGTCAACGTTGGTCAGTGATGATCGCACATCCTATCTCTACGACGATTGACTCACCCCCCTTCCCAAGTTCGCATGAACTTTTCTCATGGTTCATATGATTACCACCAGAGTGTCATCGATAACACAAGAAAGATGGTTGCGGGTGATTACGAATTATCTGAGTATACGATCATGTCAGACTGATGCGCCATATTAGCGGATCCCAGTGGACGACCTGTTGCGATTGCTTTGGACACAGTAAGGTTCCTGCGCTCGTGTTACAAATTTATGCTGATATTTGGCTGGTAACAGAAAGGACCCGAAATCCGCACGGGTTTGATGAGAGATGGAAAGGATGTATGCGTCTGATCTTTATCGCTGACTCCACCAGGTGACTGACATCATCTTTCACCTTCAGGTGCCCATCAAGGCTGGCCATGAATTCGTCATCTCGACAGAAGACAAGTACAACGAGATTTGCGACGACAAGGTCCTATGGCTTGACTACGTGCGCAGGAAATACTCGTTTGTGCGTTTCACACTAATACATTATTGTAGAAAAACTTGCCAAAGGTCACCGCTCCCGGAAAGCTCATCTACATTGATGACGGTAGGTTTATCTGTGATCCCTCTTGAATTGTTCATTTATACAATAACTGTCTAGGTATTCTCTCTCTCCTCGTCTTGTCTATTGAGGGCTCCAGCGTTCGCGTACGTGCCCTGAACAATGGGACTCTCTCTTCTCGCAAGGGTGTAAACCTTCCAAAGACCGATGTCGACCTTCCTGCTCTCTCGGAGAAGGACAAAAAGGACCTGCTTTTTGGTGTCAAGAACGGTGTTGACATGATCTTCGCGTCATTTATCCGCCGCGGCCAGGATGTCAAAGACATTCGTACAGTTCTGGGGCCAGATGGTGCGAACATCAAAATCATCGTGAAGATCGAGAACGAGCAGGGTGTTGAAAACTTTGACGAGATCTTGCGCGAAACTGATGGTGTTATGGTTGCTCGTGGTGACCTCGGTATCGAGATCCCCGCAAGCCAAGTCTTCTTGGCACAAAAGATGATGATTGCGAAGTGCAACATCGCTGGGAAGCCAGTCATTGTGGCAACCCAGATGCTCGAGGTACGTAGATCGCTCGTCGTGCGATAGTACGTTCGCTGAATACACGCTACTTATAGTCAATGACGGTATGTGTTAATCGACCTATTTCCCTATGAGCATTGCTCAGATCGTACAGTACAACCCCAGGCCCACTCGTGCCGAAATCAGTGACGTAGCCAATGCTGTCCTTGATGGTTCCGATTGCGTCATGTTGTCCGGAGAAACTGCAAAGGGGAATTATCCCGTAGAATCTGGTGAGTGTTTTTCGTATGATGGTTATGACGAGGCTGACGCTATGTGAAGTTCTCATGATGGCTGAGACATGTTTGCTGGCCGAGGCAGCGATTTGCTACCCACCTCTGTACGACGAGTTGCGAGGCATCCAGCCTCGTCCCACCGAGACTGTGGAGACTGTGGCGATTGCTGCGGTCGCTGCTGCTTCGGAGCAAAATGCGAGCGCCATCATTGTACTGTCCACAAGCGGAAACACTGCTCGTCTGATCTCCAAATACCGCCCGAGAGTGCCCATCATCACAGGTAAGTGTCCTTTGATTACCATCTACATATTTAACACAACCGCCTTTTCAAGTCACTCGGAACGAGCAGACTGCGCGCCAGATCCATCTCCACCGTGGATGTTATCCATTCTGGTACCCTGAGCCGCGTGGAGTTCATGAGAGTCAGTGGCAGAAAGATGTAAGCATGCGCCCGTGTTTGATTGGGTTTGAACTGAAACTGACATTCTATCCAGGTTGACAACCGTATCCGGTTTGGCTTGAAGAACGCGCTTGCGTTGAACATCATCAAGACGGGAACTACCGTCATCGCTGTGCAAGGCTGGAAGGGAGGTCTAGGCCATACCAACACCATGCGCATCTTGTCGGTTCCTACTGACCCTGCTGATTTTGAGTTGCAGTCCCTGGGAGCAAACTAGCTAGATGATTGAAGTTGAGACCTTAGACTTTGTTGTAAACATACTGTAGCGTGTGGGTTATGATGCATATAACAATGTACATTCTGGCATTTGACGTTGACTCGGCTCATCGATTTACATCCGCCGACTCAGCTACTCACGGTACTCTATTCATGTCTCTATCAACTGCGCATCTTCGTGGTATGATGTCAACTTTCCCATAGAGCGGTCCATACATCGCAGGCCGTCACTGATACCGGTAAAATATCTTCCTTGCAGGTTTTTTGTACGCGATGACCTGATGCTCACTTCCTTTACTCCACTATCATAGTAAGTATTGACGTACTGGCTCGGACACGGACGCCTGTGGCCCGAAGTTCTCATCCTTCCTTCATTTCTTCCTCGACTATTTCACAAAACTCAAAATCACTGCCTGAACGCGATGGCAACTCGTTATTTCCCTGGATTTCAGCGTGATACTACTCGCGACCGACCATTCTATGATCCTCATCTTCCTTCTTATTCCTCTGCTGTTCGCGAAAAATTGCATCTCCAGTCCAGTGGTAGCCAATGGCTCGTGCCTATGACAGGTTCAACGCGCCGAATACGTCTCGAATCCCTGAGCCCCGGGCCTCGCTTCAGACTAGCTCGAGTCGGTCGACGAAGAGGTTTCATCTGTCGATGTGTTGCTTTCCTTACCGTAGTCTTTGCCATTGCCGTGATCATCCTCATGTTGTTGGGTACTGAAGAGTCACACTGGACACCTCCGTTCAGGGATTCAACCCTCGTGTTTGGCAGAGAGAATTTGCAACGCATTTGGAAGTGGGAAATCGAGAGCGGACATTACCCCAGCAATGGGAAGAGTAAGCGACAACGTGCTTTCGGCTCTTATGCCAGATGGGGCTGACTTGCTTTGAGTACCCGAGCAGATTGGTTTCACCTCCGCTATTTTGAATCCAGCCTTGCCTCCAGCAAAGGCACACACACTCATTTCACCCTTTACGCCCCCCGCCAGGGCCAGTAACCACCATTACACGGGGAGTTGGTCCCCGTAGGACTTATCTTGAAAATCAGAAGCAGTCTGTCGGCGCTGCATACCCGCCTAGACCGATCCCCTGGCAGCATTGCAGATTTAGATATCATTCTAGAGCAATGTAATTTTTCAGAGGGCAAGGTGTGTCATTCGCGAAGATCTTACGCACATGTTTACGTTGTTCCGTAGTATGTCCGCGATTGCTTGGAATTTTTGCGCGTCTCAGCTGGTTTGGATAATGGCCGAAGACTTCGACGAGGATCAGTGGATGAGTGGAAATACGCTTTTATGGAAGAGGATCGACTAGAAGAAGAAAGTTTTCCCCGCGCTACGCAGGCTGCACCTATAGCGCCTGCTGGACCATACCCCACTGGACGCCAAAACTCCAATGCGGGATTGATGAAGAAGAGGAACGTTCAGTGGGAGCGTCCACTAGAGCTCCCACCCCCCGAGCAGCCAAGCGTGGGTTCAAACCGTTCGACTGCTTGTGATCCTGAAAATCTCCGCCTGTTCCATATGTTTTGGGCAGGTCCATTCAACGAGAAACCATATGTCGCGCTGTCATCCTTTCTTTTCACTCAGAATCTTGGCCTCCATCTTGAACCGGGGCAAGAGCTTGACGTTTGTCGTCCACAGATCTGGCTGTGGATTAATCCTGGTCCTGCAGCGGCCGTTCCCAATCCCACCGCGCTCACAGATATGTACGACGCACTGAAGACGAACCCATGGGCAGCACCTTTCCTTCATCCGCGTTTCAAGAATGTTATCAAATTCAGACTCTGGAACACGACGGAACAACTTGATAGCAACCTTGAACTGAGAGACGAGTGGAGGAAAATGGACACTCTCTTCAATTCAGGAGGTGTAACTGTGAGCGTACCTGCCGAGCAACCTGCAGGGAGCTCTAATGCTACCTTATCTAAAACCGGTGACATGGTTCATCGCCTTGGTTCGAAATCGGAAGCGACTTATGACAGGCTTTCCGTGATTTTGTCTGACATGGCACGTTTTATCGTCACTCATCGCTATGGAGGGATCTACCTAGATGCTGATACCATCTTCTTGAGGGACTGGGAGGAGCTTTGGGGATGGAAAGGCGCGTTTGCCTACCGGTGGTCCTATCACGAAGACTACAACACTGCTGTACTCCATCTCAACAAGGGTTCCTGCCCTTGGTTCTTTCCTCTTCCGTACCGCATTGAAGAACGGTTTCGACTTTCATCCTGTCGCTGTCTCTAAGTACCTTAAAGAGGCGCACCTGGAGAACCTTTTGTTACGTGTTCCTGATGCGCTATTCGACCCAGCGTGGCTAAACACGGAAGGCTATCAAATGGAAAGGCCACCGTACCCCTTTTTCGCCGGGTATGTTCCTGAAAATAATTCTGGTTGCAATTTGCTGATGATCCACCACGTAGCTTCGCTGATTTCTTTGACACTCCAGAAGTGCAGAGTGCTGCACCGCAGGCCACCGGATTTGAAGGGTTCTTCAGGGGAGCATTCTCATATCACTTTCATAACTTCTGGTGAGTATATTTCGTTTTTCGTATTACACCCTTGTTGATATCTTTGTGAAAGGTGGAAGCCATTCGATCTTGCGAGGAACTGGCCGGACTTGGGGCCTAAATTTGCAGGTGGTGAAAGGGCAGCGCGTGCTGCTGCCAACCCTCATGCAGATCCTGATGATTGGAGCAACAAAATAACCGATGACAAGCGTGATTTGGACTGGGCGACTGTGCTGAAGCGAACGTTTGAGGCCTACATCCGTGGAGAAAGACCAAATATGTATGGTGAATGGTTGCGGTGGTGACGATCTAAACAGAAAGATATTTTCAATGCGGATCTATTTGGCGCGAACTTTGGACAGATGCTATCAAAAGACGTGTAATTTAATGATAAGTTAGCTCAAAATGCTGTTGTGTATCGAAAAATAGTGGAGAGCTGAATGCATATGCTGTGGTGATTATTTTTGTCATTGCTGGCGCTGAGGCTGCGGATGATGCTGAACAGCCCGTGCCAGTGCCAGCCTAAATATTGCTGGTATCGCCTTCGGCCCTAGAAGTCTCACACCCATTTAGCTATGCCCGTTAACAGCAGAGATGATAAATTCCCACGGATCCCTACGCTTCTCTGCTACATCAATATTCTTAAAAGTTGCTCGTCCTCACGAGCGTCGTGAATTCGCCGTTTACTGGACGAAATGGCGTCTTCTAATTATTTTACTCCCCAACGCGGGAATGGCTTTCTAGACAAGAGTCGTTTAACAAACTCTCTTCCAACTTATTCTTCCGCTGTAAGCGAGAAAATGCATCGACATTCCCGTTCAATGTCCTGGACAGTCCCAGTATCAGTCCCAATCCCCGGCGTACACTCACGTCGCCTTCGTTTAATCATGCCAAATCCCAATCGTGTCCGCCAGATCAGTATCTCGCGTTTCGGACGACGACGAGGGCCTATACTGCTCTGCGTAGTCTTGATTGCTTCCATTGTCACAGTATGTTCCTTTGCGCGTCGGTTCGGCGCAGAGGAAAAACAGTGGACTACCAACTTTGGGGAGTCTTCTACCCTTGTCTTTGGGCGAGAAGATTTGCAGCGAATTTGGAAATGGGAAATAGATAGCGGCCATTATCCAAGTAATGCAAAGAGTGCGCCTCATCTCTATTGCTGTCGTAATCATACGTGTTGATCATAAATTCTCTTAGTACCCGAGCAGGTCGGACTCAGCACTCCACCACTCAACCCTGCTCTTCCTCCACGAAAAGTTCCAACGATTCCTTCACGATTCAGGCCTCCTCCAGGCCCTGTAGCTACAACCACGCGTGGAGATGGACCACGACGCGTTTATCTCGATGTACAAAGCATGCCCCCCAATATTGCATATCCACCTCGTCCTGTACCGGGCAGCGTCGCTGACCTAGACACCATTATGGATCATTGTGACTTCTCACAGGGCAAAGTACGCATTCTGCTTCCCTTTTTTTTCACCCACTAATGTTTCCAAAGTATGTACGTGACTGCCTCGAAGTTTTGCGTATAGGTGCAGGCCTCGACAATGGCAAGAGACTCAGGCGAGGCGAAATGGACGAATGGAAATACATCTACATGGAACAAGAAAAGGAGAACTTCACAGACCCCTTCACGGATTCCATCCCTATGGCCAATCCCATTGCTCCACCCCGTCCACTAGCTTCAGGTGGTGGAGAGACGGATCCTAACGCAGGTTTAAGAAAGAAGGTAGGGGTAGACTGGGAGACACAGTTACCTCTCCGTACCCCTTTGCAACATACACCTTATTCAAGTCTTCCGGCACCTTGCGACCCTGAAAACCCACGTCTCTTCCACATGTTCTGGACTGGCCCATTCACCGACAAGCCATATCTCGCTTTGCTCTCCTTCCTCTTCACGCAGAATGTCGGTCTGCATCTGAAGGATGACGACACTCTTAATGTTTGCCGCCCTGAATTCTGGATGTGGATCAACCCTGGTCCTGCAGCGTCTGTCCCCAACCCTTCCGCTTTGAGCGACATGTATGAAGGGCTCAAGACCAATCCCTGGGCAGCCCCTTTCTTACATCATCGCTTCAAGGACGTTATCAAATTCAAACTCTGGAATACGACAGACCAACTTGACGGTATCCCAGAACTTAAGGACGAGTGGCGTGAGTTAAGAGAGACTCTCTTCAACTCAGGAGGACACATCGTCAGTGTGCCCGCCGAGAAGTCACAGTCGAAAAGTGCTGAGGCCACCAGTACTGGTGCTATAGAGGATTCGACCAACAGCACCGATGCCGACCCTTCTGCAAAGCCTTTGTCTACTGGTGAGAACAAGTCGGATGAAGATGATATGCTTAACCGTACTGGTTCGAAATCTTCGTCTTCATATGACCGCCTCTCAGTTATCCTCTCTGACATGGCGCGATTTGTCCTCTGTCATCGGTTCGGTGGTATCTACCTTGATGCAGACACCATCTTCTTGCGGGACTGGGAGGAACTTTGGGGTTGGAAGGGCGCGTTTGCGTATAGGTGGTCGCGGCTGGAGAAATACAATACTGCCGTTCTGCGCATGAACAAGAACTCTGCCCTTGGGTCATTCTTGTTCCGCACTGCTCTGAAGAACGGCCTCGACTTCCACCCTATGACGGTATCTCGTTATACCAAAGACGCATACTTGGAGGGTCTTTTGCTACGACTACCTGACGCCCTGTTTGACTCTGCGTGGCTCAACACCGAGTACTATCAACGCGAAAGACCGCCTCAACCATACTTCCAAGAGTACGTATGCAGTTTCGTGTTCTCATGTCGTAGATTACTCATCCATTTCTCATAGGTTCTCGGACTTCTTTGACACACCTGCACAAACCAGTGCTGCTCCTCAAGCACTAGGGTTTGAAGGCTTCTTCCAAGGTGCTTTCTCTTATCACTTCCATAACTTCTGGTGAGTAGGCTATCCTTCTGTGTGACATACCGTGCTTAATCATGACTCAGGTGGAAGCCATTCGATGCATCTCGCAACTGGCCTGACCTAGGCCCCAGGTTTTCAGCTGGCGAGAGGGCTGCCCGTGCAGCGGCAGAACCCGATATTGATCCAGAGGATGCCACTGATCGGGTCGCTGATGATAAACGCGATCTTGACTGGGCTACTGTCCTCAAGAGAACGTTCGAGTCTTACATTCGTGGAGAGAGGCCAAACATGTACGGCGAATGGCTTCAATGGTGACCTTGAATCACTTCCGCCCTTGCGGCTTTCCGTCGACCATGGTCCCGCAATCTTATAATCAATATCAAACGCATTATCTGAAACGATCCCATATCATAAATGCAACTGCAACCTTTGTTATTGTTTGGTTCAGACTCGGACATCAATACGACAAGTTGTTTGGATACCTAGCCTTCTGATCCCGGTCCTTTCACTGTCCATACCTTTACCATTTGCCGATCTTTTCGTGGACATGTCAAGCAGTTTGCTTACTGCCTTTCTGGTTCAGGCCATAGTGCCATGCTAGGACCAATCTTAGTCTACTTTAATAACATAGATTGTGCTGCCTCAATGGACATGAATCCGTAAAGTCTAATTACTCAATACATATTGTGCGATCAGCAGTTTAATACCTTTACTATCTACTTCGAGAACCTCGCTTGAGCGGTATTAACGGTAGCTTTCAGTGAAGTGATGACGTCCTCCGGGTTTGGCGCATTGAAAATGGCAGTTCCTGCCACGATGACGTTGCTGCCTGCGGACCAGTCAATCGATCGTCTAGGGGATTCCTTAGCAGCACTGACCTGCATCGGCACAGATATCGATTGTCTTGGGTCCAACACCGCCATCGACCTCGATGTCCTTTTCTGGGAAGCGTGCGCGCAGTTCCGCAACCTTCGGTACACACCACTCGATGAATTTTTGACCACCGCGTCCTATGCCACGTGAGGTGACCTATCAAAACATCGATAATGCGACGCACCAGGGTAAACGGTCATAACCAAGAGCATATCCGCTGCTGCGCCTATTTCATCTGTGATGGCCGTGGATGGCGTGTCCGGGGAAATAGCCACCCCTGCTTTCATGTTCCGCGCATGTATGGCGTTGATAAGTGAAATAGCATCGGCTGCGCAAGGCGCTAAGGTCATCAGGAGAAGATAGGAGGCGAGATTACTCACACGTGGCCTCGATATGGAAACAATACAGCGAGCCTCCTGCGTCTGCAATGTCGTTAACCCACTGAGGCAGATGCCGATATCGGTTACTGCCATGTCGATCAAGTTTGATAAGATGTGCTTACTTTCTCGGGCTGTGCAACCATCATATGGCAATCCATGAATATGCCCGGGACGCCTTTATAGACGCAAGACAGAATTGGTGCACCTGCATGCATGTGAGAACCATTCGCAAGCAAACGAGCGTGACGGTGAGCTAACCCATCGAGATATTGGGCACGAAGTGGCTGGATTGGGACAAATTGACATCGGATAAGAGTATTTAATCTCATTTCTTACCCGTCCATGACGTCTGCACAAGGTGAGGTAGCGATGAGGACTGTCTCACTAAAGCTTCACTTGTCGGTAAACGTACCCATGTGCAGCCATTCCGCTCCGCCTTTAATCATTCTCTTGCATTCCGCACTGAGCTGCCCGAAGTCAGAGGCAAGGACTGAAGGAGATATGATTGCGCGGGGCATGACTCTATGTTGGTGGTGGTGGTGGTGTAAGTGGTTGCAAAGGTGAGTAGTCGACGCGTGAAAGTCCCCACAAGTCCCACATGAAAGCAGCGCTCTTTGGTGGTATTCAATCTACAGCACCTTCCTTTTTTGGCGACAATCACACCAGGGGGTCCCGCTCCTCAGCGCTCAGCGCTAGCTGTATGTAATGCTTTTTCCGAAGCATACTACCAAGTATCAAACTTCGCCTAGCTACGGTAGTACCGGCCGTTCATCAACAGTTCCGTCCTCATCCTGAGGATGAATACCACGTTACAGAGGCCCGTGCACTTCTACGTAGATGAAGGGGCCGCGTCGTTCATATCGGAACCCTGTCCGAGTCCGAGTCTTCGACCACTTCGACTTCACACGCTTGACGTCTTATCTTGCAAAAGGCTTGCCGTCTCTGCTATCGTTTCCCGTTTGTACTGCCGGCGCTGATACTGGGCCTATACAGATTAGCTGTCAATGTAAGTCAAATCAGATCGTGTCGTTGACAAGCGGCTTTATTGAACTATTCCCAGATCGTAGGCCATCAAAAGCGCAATACTCATGTGCCTCCTATACCACATAAGTACCCTCCGTTTCCAACGTCAGTTGGGTGGTCTTTTTTTATCCACTGCCGATTTTGACATGGGTTTTCAATATCCTTTGAAGCTGCTTCATGGTATTTTTATCTGATCCGAGTGGGAGAACTTTTCCAGCGGTAAGAATATCCTAAGCCAACTTGATGCTTATTTTTGCTGCCTCATTTGCACGGTACGGCGCACCTAGGATAATCGAGAATTTTAACAGCGCGTGGGGGTGGTATCTGCCTTAGAAACGCCATGCGTGTCTTTCGCAAGTCCCAAGAAAGACGTGATTCGACGAGACTTCCCACTGGCATTTTCCACTCAGCCGTTAATCAGCTCTCGTCTGTGAAACTGCTTCTCACCCTCACGTGAAATTAGCGGCGATCGAGCTGTCCTCGCCAATACTAGTCTCACTGTCCTTGTCGAAACCCAGGGGGGTCTACAACTTACAGGGCATGAGAGGATCCCACGGGCTCTTCCACATATGAGAAAGTTCATCATTAAAAAAGCTGGGTACTGATAACATCATCAGTACTGGTCAATTACCGGTGCAAGGACCACGATCGGATGCTGATATCAGCCTGACCGGGGTGTCAGTGATGTCACGTAACTACGAGACGTTTGAGTTGGCCTTCAGCGACACCGGTCGTCCTTCGGCGGTAGGCGACGCGGCGGTAAATCAAGTCATCTTGAACACCCATGATGCTCACAAAGCGCAGTCTGGTAACGTCCACATCTTCCTTCTTCAGATAATCCCAAGCTCGACACTCTATTTCACCTCTCTCAAAGTTCACCTTTCTGCTTGAATGGTACCCCTGCGTGACGTAGATGATGATCACCTCGTCCTGAGAGTTAGATGATGCATCAGTGAGGTAGAGGTATGGCCCGCCATCGAAGGTTGTAACATGGTCGCGAATGACTTTCTGATTCACGCAAACGAACCCAGCCATGATACGATCCGGGCATTTAGTTCGCCAATCTGGATTGATACGTGTGGCCCATTTTTCGACTTCCTCCGTGGGGAGCAAAAACCCTGCTAGCTGCTTAAACATGAGTTGAGGGGAAGGCGGCAAGAAACAGCTTTTGACGAGATAAGAATGGATAAATATGCAGCACGTGGAGACGCTCACAGGACAGAAATTGGGCGGTCAAGAATGAAAGCTTCTGACATAAATAGGTATGCCTTCCAGTGGAACTGATTTAAAGGATTTACAGTGTTTGTTCTTTTCTGAAATCGACTCGAACTTGATCTCGTGCCTAGTCCTGCCTAGTCATTGTTGGCTGTGCCTTCAGTCCCGACACGTTTTGTGCTCTTTCAATCTATAATTCGGTTGTTTTTGTTTGTGCGGTCCGTTATCACTACCATATCTTCGTGCCATCTTGTAACCTGTTGCCTTTGTTGCGTTTTGCAAGGCCTCTACTTTTAAATCATCCGCATAATTCCGCAAGCATAAACATGACAGCATTGGCACGGTTAATGGTTGGTACAATTCCCGATCGCAGACTCGGACGTTTTGCAAGGTCTATATTAGAAATGTTCTCGCTGAGCCCCTTTTTAAGTTTTCCGTTATGCATGCCTCGGTGGACCACTCCTGCATGGTGTCTTGAGCTTTCCGTTATGGGGTGTTCTAGAGTTTCGCGTTGACCTCTCTGTTGGCATCTCTGTCCGGTGCCCAGGTCTTTCTGCCGCAATCGAAAGTAAAAAAAATGGTTCCGCCTCGGCGACACAAAACAGGAGCGCACGCAAACCACACACATCAGAACGATGGCATGGCCCGGCCTGCCACTTTCAATCATTCCAGCCTCGCTGAAGCCTCATCGATGGACACCCCTTCGGTCGCTGGCTCTTCCAATGCAACCGAGAATGACTACAAAGCTAAAGGTGGGGAGGTTACATCATTTTCCTGAGCTTGCAAGCATTTTTCGATTATGGTGAATCCCGGCAGTTTTGGTCAGTCTGTCGAGAATCCGGGTTGGCACGTACGCACCTCGAGGATATATCTTATATTTCTGAGACGACCCCCGCGAGGCGTGAAGTTCCTTTTCATGGACAGACTATCACACAAAAAGGAGGTTTCGGCGCAATGACTGGACCTGGTTAAATGGACCTCTGAAGATCTATACACCGCAAAAATGTTGACAGCAGGTTTCGAACCAACTCCAAGAGAAACAGATTTTGACTCTGTTGTGGTAACCACTTGGTTAAGAACAGTTAGGTGGACCTCCGAGGAAACCATCCACGAGTCAATGTGAAGGTGTGTTCTGACAAAAAAAAACTTGTCGTTCAGATTTCGAACCTGCAGACTGTGCACAGCCAAGAGAAACAGATTTTGATTCTATTGTGCTAACCACTTGGCTAAGACCAGTTGAGATGAGCCTCACAGAAATCATCCGTGGGTGAATGTCAAGGTGTTCTGATAGATAGAAAAAAAAACTTGTTGTCGGCAGGTTTCCAACCTACGCAGTCCAAGAGAAACAGATTTTGATTCTGTTACTAACCACTTGGCTAAGAGAGTTGAGATGAACCTCCGACGGAACCATCCATGAGTGAATGTCAAGATGTGTTCCGAGAGAAAAAACCTTGTCAGCAGGTTTCGAACCCGCGCAGTCCAAGAGAAAACAGACTTCAATTCTGTTGAGGTAAAGTTTCAATTTGGCCAGGACACCTGAGATTGCCTCGAGATATAAACGTTTGAACGTCGAGGAACTTGTCCGTGAGTGAATGTCACATGATGGACGGCTCACGTGTTGACACACCGGCGGTTTCAGAGTTTTCCCTTAGGCAAGATTTTGATTGAAATGAGAATGACAAATTAGTCATTCGTACATTGAATTTTATCACTGGATTAATGGCAAATTTCGAATGACAAAGCACAAATAACACATTTTGATACCAATTTTGAACTATTTAAATGCATGAAAAACTCGAAAATTTTCACTTTTCGAAAAATATTGGTTTAAATGTTAACTTGTTCGTCCAAAGATAAATGCGAAATTTTGAGCTGCAGAAAAATGTTCCACACAATATTATATAATAACGGACGTGTTGCCACGCCGGAAAATTTTAAATTTACCTTACGTTCAAATGAGTTTGAGAAAATGCGAAATTTAAGCAATGGGGAATCTTAGTGCGCATTCATTGGGCGCTCGGTGGGCGCTCGGTGAGCAGTCATCAGGTATTCGTCGCGCAGGGTGCTTTCGTAATGGTAATGGTATTGAACGGCAAGGTAGTGGTAATGGTATAATGGTATCACATAGTAGCGCGTGACTTCTCCACAAGACAGATCTGATCAAAACGTAAAGTTACCAAGGTAGAAGGAGTAACTGCAATATCCACGGTGTTCTTCTTAAGGTTGCACTTAGCTATAGTAGAGATGGAACCGCGATGACTCCCATCTAGAACAATACACTCTTGATTTTTTTTGCGAGGAGGAGCTCGGCTTAGATCTGTGATCGGTATGTGATAGTGCTGAATGGCGGCGCCTGCACCGTTCGATGAACAGAACACTGCAACACAGCCCTCGGGGGCGGGTCCATTCAGACCGAGGAAGGGATCAGGGCAAGCGGTTGACACAAATCGATTGTGTAGCCTGCCTCTCATAAAGGAGGGCGAGACTTTTAACATCACGTGATACGTGGTGAGCTTGGAGGAAAATTCCTTTTTCATTAGCCAAGCTAGCGGGCCTACGATAAAATAAGCAAAATGTTATGGATGGCTCCCCGGGTGGACTCACCCTCTTCGAGTTTCTCCGATCGAGAATCAATGTTATCTAGTGTGTCGCCAGTATCGACAGTCCAGGGATTCGGATCGGCAGTCAAAGTGCTGGGATTAATGCTGGGCAAAGGACTGCTAGCCTGATCATCGGGGCTGGTGGTCCAGTTGGTCCAGGCGGATGAGGACGTGCCAGGAGCTGCAATTGCAACCGATGAGCTAGAGTGAGCCTTCTCAGGTGGGGGGGTGACGCTTCGAGGTTGTGGGGCTAGGTACGATTTTCTCCGCATCTCACAGAAAGACAACATGTCTATTCCTTCGAGCATCGTACCGTTTAGTCTCCTTCCGTACCTAAACACACATATGAGCAATTAGTCCGCTGTGAAAATACGCGTGCTGCTTACCTTGTGGCAACATTCTGGAGTGGGATTGTAGTGCGTTGCTGCCCATGCACAGCAAGTGTACATTTCTCTACGGCGAGGCTGTAGAGCGTAGCTCGGTAACCCTTACGGTCACCCCCAATGATGAATACTTCTTGGCCGATGTCCTGTTTGAAGGAATCCAGGCTGGCGTTGTGTATTTTCATCGCGAAAGAGATGGGAACATCAACCTGCCAGAAGTCAGTTATTCATAGATATACATAGGTTGAGGAAGATATTACTGACGAGTGAATGATCGATGTCAGAGAGTAGGGTCAAACGAGCATTCGGAAAGTCGACGCTTCGCACGATCCCTTTCGTCTGATATTCTGGCCCACGGGCGACTCTTACAATGTCTCCAGGTTTGACATCATAGCCCTTGTCTTTCGTGAACTGTAATGTCTGAAGGTGTGGGAGGTGTGTCCGCCGAACTACTGCAATGGGAACCGGAATGTACAATGTTCCGTCCTGGAACCACAGAGTTCCTCCTCCCTTGGGCAGCCAACGCACGATGCCACACTTGCCTATATGCTCCCCCACAAGTACTTCTACACAATCCCCTATTTGAATTGATTCAACATCAGCGGGAGGTGTAAAAAGTTGCTGCGTTGGTGGTCGTTCTTGCCGCGTGTGAGTCAGAGGGCGCTGGTCCAGATAGTACTTTGAAACTTCCACCTGCCATGATGCATTATATTAGATGATTTCGCCAAATCTGAATTGAAAATAGACCCTCACCTCTTCCTTTGAGACATCTTGACAAAGACGAAATATATCATCTACCATTTCAATAATGTGCCCCTCCACACCGAAGTATGGACCTGCTACAACTCGAACCGTGTCGCCGATCCGAAACACGCGTTCTATGTCCTGCAATCGACATTCTACTTCCTTTCGGTGTCCACTCAAGCTCAAATCCAAGGTGGCAGAACCGACAGTATGGTCGGTTGAGGTGACCATCCCGACTTCTGAACTAAGATCTCCTTTGACGATCTTGGCCCAATCGCCTGCGTGCAAGAACTGCATCGAAAACGCAACAACAGTGCTCTTGAGGAATGACTTGTCCCATCCGGATCGCAAATGGAGTTCAATGTCGTTAACGTGAGGGCAGACGACACGTTCTAGGCGATCGCGGTGGAAGTTGCGAAGTAGGAGGCCCATGTAGTATCTCTCTCCTTTGTACTTGCAGCCTATAACTTCGTCATCGCGATAGATGTTGGAGACCGCGTCCCCGTTCGGAAGGCGGGATCGGTCGAGTAGACACCGAGATCCTCGGGACATGGGGTATGGGAAATCTCGTAGGGGAACCAAGACCGCAACCAAATCATTCGGCAAATCCGAATCGAAGACTTGGGCTATGTCGCCCTTATACTTGCCATGCTTGATCCTCACCCAAGCTGGAATGGGAAGCTTGCTGCAAGAACGCTCGACCATTTCACGTTCCTCATCCGTTATGACGAGATATTGTTTCACGGCGAGGTAGAGCGAGAAAGGAAGCGAATCTGCGATGGTTTTGGGGCTGTCTGCCACCACATACAGCTGGCCAGCTATCCAAGCTGACACCTTGACGGCAAATTTTTTCCTCCGAAGGTGTGCAGCGATATAATCTGTGACATTTCCTGTAATTGATGAGTTACGAATGATATGACATCGATAGAAAGACTTACGTTGGACATGGAGAAGATACATCCTCCCGTCCTGCAATCCAGCTAAAGGGATGAGGCCAGATATCGAGGTGGGAATAGTCTGACGATCTTGTGATGGGCTAGGTTGTGTGCCTTCGAATCGATTCGTGATTTCGTCGATAGCTGCAGTAAACCTGGCGGCCGATGATAGTCCTGGCAAGGAGGTAACCTTCCAGGACTCCGAGGGTTTGTTGTGGTTCTCTTCCTCCTCTTCCTCCTCCTCCTCCTCCTCCTCCTCCTCCTCCTCGTCGTCGTCGTCGTCTGCAGCAGCCAGATCGAGGTAGGGATTTTTCGACTGATACAGTGGCTGTTTAGCATGTGAAAATAATATAATCAAATACTTTCGCTTACTTTGGCTCGTCTACGTGAACTTTGAATGCGCGCACTGGTCGATCGCCTGTCGGCCATGGAAGAATCCTTGGGAGCGGATAAGGCTGGATGTATGTGCTTTGCCTTAACAGCACGTAGGTTTGCCAAGGCAAGCTCGTCATCACCGTCACCCGAAAATAACGCGTCTCGGGATTCCTTCCAATCATCTGCGGAATATTGATCGCCGAGGTACGATAGTAGAGCGTCTTCCATCTGAGGGTACGTCATGTCCGTGGTAAGGAATTGCTCTAAAATCGCCCATGCATGCTTATCCGCTAGTGGTGTTGTCGGTATTGTCTGATTCCCTATGAATCGCTCATGAATAAATCTATAGGGCGATAACGTGTTGCTACTCACCGTCATCAATTCTGATACGCTTCGAGGTAGGTGCACCATCATTGGATGCGGCACGTTTGGCCATGGTTTCTGTAGTCTATAGAATAGGTTCAGCATTATGATAACGCGAATTGGAACATCACACATACTAGATTTGATAGATTCAATAGCTAAGTCTACGTAAAGACTAGTAATACTGTCGTATCGAGGTAGTTGTAGCGGAAAGAAAACCATGAAGGCGCGAGACCAGTATTTATAGTGAACGACTGCAGTGTGGACCACAGCGGCCACAGTGGACACAGCGAATTGTCTATTATGCGGGAGGTGGACCATAGCGTTTTTTTGTTCTAAGTATTGTTAGGTCCACTACTACTATAATAATATTCTGTACAAGTACTGTCGCTATCAATGTATGGGAATCGGAAAAGAAAACCACTTAAGGTAGACAGAAGCCATGATATACAGAATGACTATAGATTGAAACTCAGCGGGCGATGCCGGTCTGGCAGTGGGCGCAAAATGGCCACTCGAATTTCTGGCGGAGTTTGATTATGTAATTATGTAGCAAGGCGTTCACTATATAGCAGGCGTTCATTCAGTGAACTGGCTTTCTTTCCGACTTCCATGCCAAGCTTCGCTATGTTCGTAGTGTAGATAGTGTAGAGTTTGTATCGCAATGTATTGTAGAGTAGTGTATTAATTTCGCATCAATGTATGCAGCTGTAGCGCGTCTGTGATGGACACTCGCATTCCGCCGCTCAAAGGTCTGACGTTAATTGCCAGTCAGAATGACCGCATGTCGCTCTTCTTGCAGCGCGTCTATGTTGGACGCCCGCTTTCCGCCCAAAATTTTGACAGGTAAGCATGCACTTGATATATTTAAATGGTATCAAATGTTAATTGCCGGTCAGAGAATGACCGCATGTCGCTCTTCTCGCAGCGCGTCTGTGTTGGACGCCCGCTTTCCGCCCAAAATTTGGACAGGTAAGCATGCACTTGATATTTAAATAGTATCTAACGTTAATTGCCGAGCAGAATGACCGCATGTCGCTCTTCTTGCAGCTTTGCTCGTCCACCATGCCTGTGATTCATTCCCGAGCTTCGCGATCGCTCCAGTTCTTCACTTCTCTGCGCCTCAATATATTGTTCTACCAAGGAACGGATGTCAGCATTCGTCAAGTCACTCGTTCGAGCCCCCAACTTTGAATACTCCCGCCAGACATTTCCCAGCAATGTGATCCCCGACGTTTGACCAATCCACTGCATTCTGATTAGTGAGTGCTTCGCATCCCATATTATGACGTACTATATTAATGACATATGCTATTATCACCATTGCGATAGCCAGCTGGAGTACTCCCCGCATGAAATTCTTGATCGCTGACCCAAGTGGACGGTTGCTTGGCAATGTCGCACGTTTGCGACACCAGATGGAGATGGTCGGTTCTGCGTCATTGGTAGATGTTGCTCCAAAAATCAGGCTATGGTGCACGCTGTCATACGTCTTGTATCTGTCAGACTCACATTCCATTAGTTGATGAAAATGCCTCACCGTTACAGTTTGCGCTCGCCCCCTGTCTGCATGTTGCAATACTTGCCTAAGGGTACCTTCATTCTTGTCAAAAATATGAATAGTTCCTGCGTCACTGCCTCCAACGATTAGGGTAGCCTGTTCACCAAAAACGACCTGCTTCGGGAATGTCTTGGTTGGGTTGGTATTGTAGGTACGGATGCATGCTCCATCTTCTAATCGATGCAAGCTAAATCCGTTCATCACGTTGTCGATTAGGAACAGTGTTTGAGGGGCATCCACAACAGCGTGCCCGCTTGGGTAGATCAGTAAGTAATTTTTGACTTGCCTGATGATATCACTCACATCATCGGTCCAGCCTTGTTTGTAGCGATGACAACGCCGTCTGAGCCCCGAAGCGTATGTCTGAAATAACATTGGACATGTACTGATAATGTATGGACGTGCACCTACATCTCGCCGTCATACATTCCGAATACAAGCAAGTTTCTACTTGCTGTTCGATTGAAGTTGACACTACGCGGAATGGTGGTGGAGAGCTCAATGCTGAAGACTGGTACCAATGGTCCTTTGAAGTCGTATGTCCATACTTGAACTCGTTTGTCGCGTGTTCCACTTGCAATACGAGTGTCGTCCCCAGTATGGTCATAGGTGAGACACATGATCTCTTTACCCGTTCCAATTCGCCTTGACACTTTTGCATTGAAGTCTTCTAAGCCTTGTCCTTGCTGTTGCCAAATGCATATAAAGCCCAGTCCTGTGCCATAGCATAGTGTTTCGCGCGTTGCTTCTTGGCGTGTTATCCAGCACGCGCAAGTCACCGGATCGGCCGGATTTTGGATGGCTGGTGTTTGACGTGGAGTTGGGAGCTGTACTCGTCGTTTGAGGTCCCAGATCCTCATGCCGTCTGAGCCTGGTACTTGGGTGAGTATGTAGAATGTCAATCTGAATATTCAACGTACCCCCGCTTGCTAACGTATTTCCATTGTGAGAGACTGCTAGGCAATTAATTGCGTTCTTGTGTCCAACGAGGCGCCCTTCAAGGCGATATTCTTTGCAATCGTTCGAAAGGAAAAGCATTGCTAGATGTAAACGTTAAGACCTTGTGGTTAATATAGGGATATCACAACAAACGCCATCCACTTGGCAACCCTGGGTTTCCGATCTAGACCCAAATTGCCATTGCCGTCATCCATTATTTTACATCAAATATCTTCTTGCGGCTCTGGTCAGTTCCAAGTCAGTCATGCTTCAATTCTCCTCTCCCGTCATTCCTTTTTATGAATCTGAAGGTCCTCCCCAGGCCCTTCCGTTATTGACATATCACACGGAGATGTTTTGTGCTACGTTATCGCACGTCTTGATTTCCCAACAGGAAGAGATGGCATTCTCTACTCTTCCACTCAGGGGAAGCACCTTTACTCCTTCCCGCATCTTCATGACCACATCTCGTGGAACGTTACCCGTCCCTTCTCGCGCGCCTACACCCAAAGTTGTTAAATCAGTATCTTTCGCGACAGAGAACGGCGAGTCTGAGAAGGTGTCGATATATTCCTCCTTATCCTCTCTAAGTTCCAAGGACTCCAAAATCCTCAAACCGGAGGGTGAGGCGGGGCGTCCTGGTCGTGGTGGGTACAACTTGGAGAAGGCGCTCAACTGGGATGTTAACCGCTTCAAGTCTCTCAAGGTGAGACTGTAGTGGTTTATATTTTCCTTCGTCCTCACTTGAAATTAGGAGTGCGTTCACCGGTCAATCAAGAAGTATTGTGACGTTGACACGAGCAAGAAACTTCAAACCCCCGCTGCGTTGCATGAGGTTCACAAAGAGGTATTTGTACAGTTACTATAGCAGCTTGATATTAACTTATTTTCTAGGCTCTGACCCAATTTCCGGAATTGGCTGACTATCATGGGTGTTGGCCAGTAGGAGACATAATTCAGATGCAACTGAAAAACACTTCCTGCGAAGGCACGACAAAACAATTCTCGTAAATAATAATACTTGCCTTATTCCAGAAGGAGTTGGGAAGCCGTAGTCAATACTTTTGTGCCAGAAGCGGTCAGAATGCCGTTGATAAAGCATGTTATCATGATACCAGGGTTTTATTCGGCTTGAATGTGATTAAAGTCTGAGGATCCAGATCGTCGACGTATTCGCATTCGGTTACACAAAGAGTGAGTCATCTTTCCGATAAGATAAAAGTTGCTGATTGCAAAATAACCTGTCAAGATGTCCCGTCTGATGTCCCTGTTCTCTTCAGACGATCCGGTTCCTGAAGTTGTGGAGTCGCACCCCCTCCACGACCTTTGTTCGGCCGCAACACATACGTACCCGCCTGCAAATGCTATGTTGGCTGGCATAGATCACGATGACTGTCGTCCCTCAGCAATAACGCACACATACCCACCAGCAACCGGCTCTTTCCTCTAACGAGGAGTCTGCAATGGAGTTAGATAATCCTTGGCAGTCTGCTCGTAGGGCGAGAGATGACGACGAGCAGCCAGTAGGGATCATCAAATTTGCCTCCATAAAATAGCTAACAAATGTTTAGCCCAACAAGGTCTTTCTCAAAGAAGTCGATCGGTCATCCAAGTTGCGTGAAGATGTGCGCGAGCTAAATTTTAGCAACCATGATCTTTTACTTCGAAAGCGCCACGCGCAGGTAAATGTAATCTCACATCCCTTGCGCCCATACTTAGCTCGCTTCAGGTCACTTCGAACGTCCGCGAATCACAGATGCAGTCAGCCATTGCACAGCATCAACAACAGAATCAATTTCTTCAGCGTGACAGTGCTAATGCCCTCGCCTCCTTGGACGAGAACCATCGTAAAGAAGTTGCAGAGCTTCAGGTAGGATGCTTTTGCCGTCATATAAACATTCTGACTTGCATTGACAGAACAATATGGTACTTGATCGTCAAAAGGCCCAAACAGAGGCCCGCGCTGAAATAGAACGCTTCTTGGCCGAGAAACAATCTCGATTTGAACACGAAATGCGTTTGGCAAGAGATAGGCTTTTGGCCGACAATGAATCTGAATTAACCCGCTTGGACGCCAAGTATAGTTCCAAAATTAATTCGTTGGATGTACGTATTGAATCACTGGTGTTCCAGAGTTCTTACCATTTCACAGAATCAAATTCGACATGCCAGCGCTTTGTCACCTGCGTTCGCACCTGCCTGGCGGCATCTTGTTGGCAAAAAACCTGTGGCAACATGTACCAATATTGTTGGGTTTTCACCAGTAAGCCGATGACTCACATGCACATTGTTTGCTGACACCGTGCATCATAGATTCCCGGTTCCAGCTCCGAATCTGACGCGGACGAGGAACCTCAGACGGACAGTAGACCCACCCTGACTTCACTCCTAGGAGACGTCCCAATCACCAATGCGACCATAGGCATGCTTGCTGAGGCGCTTGCGAAGGTTCTTCAGACTCCTCAAACAACGTCTTCCCGGGGACCTTGCCCAAGACGCAAACGCCCTAAACCCCCTGTTGAAAATTTCACGGATACCCAGCGCCGAGACAATAAGGTTCGTCATGACTTAAAGCAAATACCTCTGCTCACGCAAACATCAGGCAAATGTCCGAGAGTTGTTCAAAAATGCATTCCACGCCACAAAAGACGAAGAATTTATGCTTCATGTGTCAGCGTCACATGAAGCTATATTGTCTTTCGCACATGAAACGGGCCCTGGTCCTGACCCACTTGCAATGCAATGGGATATGTCGACCACGCACAACTCCATGTGGAACCAACATGTCATTGATTTACTTTGTTCCCAGTATGCAACTATGCAACTAGCAAACGGATGGGCTATACGATCTTCTCAATCTATCAGAGATGATATTACACTGAAATTCGGTCAATGCCGCAAGTGTTGGAGAAGGGCTCAACCTCTCAGCCTCAGCGACGGTACTCGTGAGACCGCGCAACAAGTGGGAGATCGACTCGTGGATCAAACAAATGAGCGACTACGGGTCGCTAGGGTCCTCACTCGCAGGGCGACGGTGAGTTACTTTTTTTCAGAGTATGGAAGCATATTGAGCTATCCACTAGAAGTTTGAGACTCGAAAAAAAGTCACGGCGACGCTGCTGAGTGATAGGATTGCGACGGGAAAGCATGATCAGGCAGTGTGGGAGTATCTTCGGGGTATTGTGGAGAATCTTGGCAAAGATGGCATGAGCTCTGACGAGAGTGAGCACGAAGATGGAGACGTTCAGGTCTTTCGGCGGAAGAGTATGCCATGGAGAGCTGATTTCACTCACGAGATGCAGATCATTGACCAACAGCGTTTGACGGGTGCCGCAGTCTTCACTCCTCGCGGAAGCAAGCCTGCAAAGCGTCTTCGTAACGCTAAATCAAAGTCTTCTCGAACAGCAATCGAAGGCCTACCAAGAGCGTTCTATGATGCTTCTTGGTTGATTGACCAACGCTCATCATTCACAGTATCAAAGAAGAAGTTCCAGAGGATGGATATTATCGTTGCCCACCAGTAAATCCTTACTTTGATAAATGGGGTGTTATTTGTACGATAGCGTAGCCCAGAGTAGCCCGGACATTGTACATACGAACTGCTGATTGGTTATAAATTGTCCAGTGACGGCTACTTAACTGCGGGTCATTAGGGAGCCTATTATGGCAGCAAAACCATGTGGGCAGACCAACTGTGAACACGGGAGGCTTGATAGTTGTTGTGTAAGTGGTTATTATCTCTGATTTTTGGTACTAATACGATTTTGCAGTTGGCATGGTTGGCATGGTATACAGTATGTACATTCGAGTATGCATTCGATTCGTAGTTCAACACTCTTACGCAGTTGGCGCATGATACTGTCCTGGCATTCCAGCAGCCGAACACAATGATGCATCCGACCTACGGATTATTTCCAATGGGTCTGGAACTGTTCCGGATGAAGATGGTCCGCGTGGTTCTGATTGTGCGCTGAGGATTTTCCCAAGGGAAAACAGACGTCTCATCCCGTTAAAGATGTATTGTGCTGCGGGTGAGATTAAATTGTCGTTATTGGTTGGGAGCTTCTAATGAATTTCATCAGTAGATTACTGCGAAACCAGGTGACTATCTTACGTGTGTCTTGTCGCTTGTTCTGATGTTCTCGGCTTTTGGAACATGCCTGCGCATAATCTCATCCACCTCTACGCCTAATATTGCTCCCTCAATCGCTGCATAGATCCTCTCGCGTAAAATGTCAGTAGTAGGGTTCCCTTCGCAATTACGATCAATACACTTGTTTACCACTTTCTCTAGGTTGCGAACAAGTTTTCTTTTATTTGGAGACATGCGCCCCTTATGGTTCGCCGCCAATAATGCGTTTCTATTCTTTGAAAACCTTAAGGTCAGTTTGAGCTGGGCTACGTAACAGTCTTACTAACCTCATTTTCTGCAAGATCAATATTAATGTTCTGAATTGAAACGTATTGGGGATTTTCCGTTGTCCCATTGAGTTCGAGTGCATGGGGTTCGTCGACCAACATAGCGGATCCCATCCACTCGAATGTTTAGTTCAGTCATTGCTGACCGCAGTTTTGACATCTGTACTTACAACAGCATCGCGCGGGACCTCCTGGTCGAAATACAAGGCAAGGGTTCTCGTCAGAGGCGTGATGATGGGTGGGATACTTTCATTGCTTGAAGTGTAGGGCCGAACGTACGGATTGTAGCGTACGTTACGGGCAGCAGTCGCCTTGCGAGGTGATTGGCACGGCATGAGTGAATTGCGATTCAGCTAACCTGCAACTGTAGTCTTTAAATCCTCTCAACTTCATCCAAGGCTGCATTTGGTATCTTGTCTCCAGCTACACATACTCGCTACACATACTCGCTTCCGTGAGTGCCGCTTATCCTCGAGGTATACCAAACAAATAATAAGTCCCCTATCCCCGACACAATAGCTTCGCCCGACTTAAAGCAAGTGACGTTGCCAAGGTCATCGAATTGCATATACATTTCTCCCACCTTTGCGATGGGAAACTCGGCAAGTTACCTCTCCAGCCCCAAAAGTGTCTTGCGTGATGTGCGCCTCATACATTTGACCTCTATTTCTCGTGACTTACGTCTTTCGATGCAGTCGCAGGACTTCGTGTCAAAGATAGACTTCCCCAGCAGTCTAGGACCTTCGAAGGTGATGTCTTTCGTATGTAAATCAAGCTCGAGTTAACTCCTTACTCCACAGGACATCGACTCTCTAGCACTTGAAAGCAAGGGACCTTCTTTGAAGCGTAAATTCGACCTCGGTGACCTGGTCACCCCTCGAAAGCGACGTCTTCTCGAATCTTATTCCACGGGCGACATATGTCAAGTTGCTACGCTATATTCCGATGCTACGGTAAAGTTTATTTTCAAAAATCGGTATCAGCGTTAATGAAGCTATAGCCAAAGATAATTCGCCACAACACTGATTTAATCAGCCCTACAATGAATCGCTTGTTCAGGGAAGCGGTATGGAATGACTCCTACGCATAATTGTCTTTGCTGATTTTAGACTGTAGTCTGACATTTTCTTACAGCGTAAAGCGGAGGCTCAACTAGATCCCTTTGCCCTCCAACGTGTAACATCTCATAAACCGTGCAAGACCAAGACGTTCATTTGGTCCCTACCCGTGGAAATCCTCATCGCTACCGTCGCCCTTCTAGGAGTGCAAGATCTGCGCACTGTAACACAAGTTTCTTCTCTGTTGAGAGAAATCGCTGCTCCGCTCTTCTTCCTCAACAGAAACTTCCCAACCTCCCCGAAGGATTTATTCCACATTCGTGTAGACCCGCAGAATTTTGACGTTCTGGCTACTTGGAGGCGAACGGATACTTTTCGTCCGCCGCGTATGGTGTTGAGTTGGCTGGATTCTGGTTTGCGATCCTCACAGCTATCCGCATTTTCCCACTTCCTCGAATCCGTCCCCCACAAATCGATACGATATATCACACTTCTTTGGAATTTTGACATTCTCACATCCCCGGTTCTCCCACAAATTGTTGCATTACTAGAAAGCATCCGTGCCTCCGGCGTCGAAGAGCTGACGTGCATGGGTTTTTGCGACGGGACAGTCTCATCGTCCGTCACCGGCCTTAACCGAATTCAGCCGTGTGTAGGTGCGAACAACCTGAAAGCCTTTGAAACATGTTCGCGGGCATTCTTTTCCCCAAACGTCCTTCCTTTCACAATTCAAACCATCCGCCTTTCCCGCAGTTTGGAAAAGCTTCGACTGAGTTCCGTCAAGCTCAGTTCTGCGCATTGGGATAAACTCCTGCGCCATCTTGCGATTCCAACCCTTGTCGAACTCCGAGTCAGATGCGGACTGTGCGCCATCCACGCTCGTTCGTTTTCTGGCCCGTCACCCTGCTATCACTAACCTCAGTGTCATCCCGCGACCTGGTAGTCCTTGGAGGGCCAATCGAATCACCACTCGTTTGAGTCTTTCTCTGTCTATGCTAGATGGACCCCTGTCACATCTCCTCCCAGTCCTTCGGAGTCATCGTACGCGACAAATCTTCGCCTGCCTTCATATTTCCTTACAAGCACATGATGCATCGCCCGACTACATCGCCTCCATTTTACAATGTATTGGCTATTGCGACAGCATCGGATATCTTGTCCTTTCCTTGCCTAAAAGTCATCCCAGCAGTAGAGCAATGATGTATTTATCGGGCGCTCATTCTATGGTCAGCATCAAACACTTAGTGATTGACTACTCGGATGGTTTAGTCTCCGGTGCTGCAGGTGATACCTTGGTGTGTGTGTTGTTGTTGCAGCATTTTCAATACTAATTGCGATCATAGGCGCTATCTGCGGCATGGATTCAAGCTCTTCCTAAAGTCAAGCGTTTTACTTTGCGAGGTTACTCAGCTACTACTGCCGAGGATCTTGTCAACATCATGCGTAGCTTTGCTGCGGGTGATGTTGAATTAGGTGTGGATGTGCAGGTCGCACCAAAATCATAATATAATTCACTATACTACATGTACATAATAATATGACCCATCGGGGCGCTGAGCGCTGACAACGCCGGGCGCTGAGCGCCAAATTTAGGCGGAGTTTCATTACAAAGTCATTCAGTATTTAGACGCGTCTCGGTTGCTGACTGCCTTCTTTTCCGATTTCGATTGTCCTATACTAGCTGTAGTCCTGTAGTCCTGTACTGTAGTCATACTCGCACTGTAGTCAGTATGTATGATGATCATGAGCAACAATTAGCACAAAAGTCAGGCTCGTACTGATAATGAATGAAATACAAGTCGTCCGTCCGTTCGAATGTAAGTGCCAAGTACGTCTGTTATTCTCAGAAATTCTAAATTACACCCTGTATCTTAGATGGTTCGTTGTAATAACAACATGGGGCCTCGTCCGTTCAAATGTAAGACTTTCCCAATGCATCTGCGTTCTCAGAAATATTAATTTACACTTATACTGTAGATTCGGCACCTTATATCGTACAGAAGCCTCCTTGTAATTTGGCATCGCCCTTAACAACAGGGGATCCAGACGTGCTACTTGACGCTTTTATAGTGAGTTTATTCTTCTCTACCTTGACTTTATCTCTCAAAGATCAGATCAACAACTAGATGCCTACTCGCATGTTTCTTTGCAAGTGTGCGCGATGCTGCGACATTGGAGGGGACGGCGTGCCCAGGAATCCTGGCGGCAAAGGAGTGCCCATCGCCATGAAAACTGTGCATTTATTGCAAGCTGCCAACTCGGATTCGTCGTCCGAACGTGAAACATCCGTGCTTCATCTCGCTCGCCAGCAGCTAGAGTCAAACGCTTCGCAGGTCGACATTCTCGCCGCCGAGCTATTTGCCATCACGCTTACCGACAATGATACCAACCCAGACAGTCACAGCAAACTCTGGAATTCGCGTTCGGAAGTTCAGCAAGACAAGGGACAGATCTACCATTCTCTGAACGGTACAAACCACGGTAGATGACATGCAGTGAGTAGGATACCCCGCCTCGCCTTATTTTTCTAACTTAGTGGTTCCCACAGACACATTGCTCGAGCCCTTCAGGCTGTTGAGCAGCGGCGCCGTTCAAAATCTCAATTAGCCTTGAATATCGTGGAGTCACGGATAGTCAAGGCTCGCAGTCGAATTTTATCTGCGACTTCTCGTGTTGTTATTCAAACTATCCGAGAAGAACTGGCCGTGATCGCGACGGCCCTCAGAAAAGTCAAGCACAAGGTCTCGTTTATCGTTTCCCGCAAAACCCAGCTGGAGTCGTCGTGTGATGACATGTACGGGCTCCTTTGCGACAAGGAAGATGAGCTCCCTCTGACATCTGAGCCGTTCGAATTTGATTCCTGTGAGTTTTGTTCATCCCTCTTGTGCCCTTCGACTGAGATACGTGAAGCACACCATTTCGACTTGCCAGTTGATCTCTGCGACGAGATAGCTCAGGTATCCCTCTTTCTAGGGGCCGTCTCCGTCGTCATTTTTGGCATCGGTCGCAGACACGGGGAGTTCCTCATGGGAGTCCTTGCCCTCGTTTTGAGCCTTGCTATGGATGCTCAGACCCCTCATTCTGAGTCTCGCCGTCAAAATATACTCTCTCAAATTCCGCGCTCTATGGAAACCACCCTTTCGCGCTTCAGTCTCGATGGCCAGACTACAACCTACGCAGTCTGTCCGGCATGCAACTGTACTTATAAACCGACCACCGGCCTCAACTCAGGTCATGTCCGGTATCCCGCGAAGTGCTTCAACAGCCCGATACCAGAGAATGGTCCTTGCGATGAACCGCTGTTGCAGCTCTCTCATGATGGCCAATTAGTGCCAATTAAAATCTTCCTTTATCACCACTTCCACGACTACCTTGCTGGATTGCTCTCTCGTCCCGACCTCGAAGCGTTGATGGATAAGCCTTGCGATGATTTGCTGGCGTCCATTGGGAGCCCACCGCATATTATCAAGGATGTGTGGGATGCCAACTTCTTTCGTGATTTCAAGGGTCCTTCCGGGCAATCCCTATTGTCGACAGAGGCGTCGAGGGTCGATACGCGTTCACCCTCAACATTGATTTTTTCAACATTGAAGGCAATCTCCAGCGAAATGCTTCGACTTCTACCGGCATCATCTCTTGTGCATGTTTGAATCTCCCCCTCGAGATGCGATATAAACCTGAGAACATGTACTTAGCTGGCATCATTCCTGGACCTTCAGAACCTTCGGGCGATGAGCTGAATCATTTTCTCGATCCTGTGGTTGACGACATGGTGGAAAGTTGGGAGCGCGGGATACGCTATTCTCGCACAGCTCTCCATGCTACTGGTCGGGTTATGCGCAGTCTTATAGCGTTTCTTGTATGTGACCTCCCAGCGGCGAGAAAGGCTGCTCAGCTGGCGGGTCCGACAAGCCACTTTTATTGCACTGCCTGCCATTGCTGGCACAGGTCAACTTGCGGTAGAACAGATATCCAATCTGAAGATTGGGTTCTCAGGGACAAGAACGAAGTGCGTCGCTATGCTGAGCTCTGGAAGAACGCCGGAACTTCACTTGAACGCAACAAATTGTTTGCGTCGCACGGTGTGCGATGGTCAACACTCTGGAGGTTATCATACTGGGATCCCTCCCGTCAAATTGTTGTGGATACTATGCATTGTCTCCTTGAGGGTCTCGCACAAGCTCATTTCCGTGAATTTCTAGGCCTCACAGTTGACTCCGCCAATCGCAAGTTCGACGTTATCCCTGCTTTCGAATATCCTTTCGTTGACGTCGATCTTAACAAACCTCCAGAGTTTAACGAGAAGGACATCAACGTTATCAAGTCAATCTATAGCCTTCTTACAGAAGCGGTCACAGACCTGGAGGGAGCTGACCTTCAGCTCTGTCGAGGATCACCTTATTGACTTAGAGAGAAAGCTTTTGTCGAAAAAGGTAGCATGCCTTCGGTTCGTATGTATAGGCTTGGGCATCGGGCCAGAGGTCATGCACCCCGGCAAAAAGTTTACAAAGTTCACTGGGTTAGATCGCTCCTTGGTTGGGTAGGCATTTTAATACTGCTGTCTTCGTTCTCTCTTGATTAAGTGACCCATTTGTAGCGTCGAACACGACCTTTCTCTCCCGAGTCGTCAAATCACGTATTGCTACACCAGAAGTTATGCAACGTATTTCTGATGTCATTAAGACGTCAGATACGCCCTCATTTTTAAGATCAGTCCCCTATAACTTTGGGGAAACCAAAGCTGGGACCGTGAAGGCCGACGAATGGCGCACATTAACGACCGTATACTTACCCATAGCACTAGTCAGTTTATGGGGCGAGGGGTCGGCACATCGCAACTCAGATATTGCAGCCAGTCGTCGTGCCATCCTTGATCACACGATGGCCCTTGTTTCTGCCATTCGTATCGCATGTCTGCGATCCATGACGAAGGATCGCGCAGACGCATACCAGTACATATATGATCGATTGGATAGGGAATTTACAGGTAATACTCCCCCATGCACGCCATCGAACCAATGGCCATATGGCGTTGCACGTTTGGGACTATCTGCAACTCTTCGGACCCGTACGGTCCTGGTGGTGTTTTCCGTATGAGCGGCTCATCGGACAACTGCAGCGATTGCCTAGCAATCATATTTTTGGTAACATTTCAATTTCTTTGTCAATGATAGACATCTTATGCTATGGGGTATGCAGGACAGCAAGAATCAACTCTCCTCCGGTCATACATCAAAGCTGCAAAGCTCAAATGCTGGCTGAACCGACCTTCTTGTCCTCCTATATTTAGAGAGGTCAAGTTGCTATTCGACAAATTTGTGTCTCCGTCGATCAACGCTAATCCCAGCGATGTATCTGAAAATCGCCCGCTGCCCCCCGACTACAAAAGAAAACATTCCAGAAGACCTTCGCCATCTCATTCAAGTTCGGTGGGCAGTCTTGCATGCTCGCACGCTTCACGAGGGATTTGTCTACACTCGCGACTCCACTCATGTTGGCAACAGCCTGATTCTTTATTACCCTGACGGCCTTAGGAATGTGCAACCGACACCAGGGACCATCAAATATATATTCGAGACCGAGCGAGGAGTATGCTTCAGCCGTGCGGTATCACCTTCCATTGCATTCTCACCTCGATCCTTTCTGCCACTAATCCTCACTTCCCGGCTCGTTTATTCTCGTCAGCACTCACTGAACATCTCACAATTGTCATGCCGGAGTGGGTGGTGTCGCATTTTGCGCGGTGGAACTTCTCACCACAGCATATTGTTGCTGTGTCTCTGAGTCAGGTGTGTTGCGTCCCCTCGATCTGATAATTGTTGTCGTAACTCACGCACCATCAATAGGACTGAATTATACAACAAAACCACTACGCGTAAGGCAGTGACATCTCCATGCCAGGAGAAGCGGGCACTGACTCCAAGATTTTCAATACATACATAAGGCATTTCATTTTGTTATCTTGCTTTTTATCATATACAATACGATTTAACATTCACGTTCTGCACTCTCAATACATCTTCCCCCTTGACTCCACTCTCAATACATTACATAGTGATCAAGTTCGAGCTACCTTCTCGCATCGATGTGGAAATATTAGAATGTTTGGGAGCTGACCCGAAGAATGATTAGGTCAAGCAAATGCACACCCCTAATGCCACTTACCATCCGGTAGAGATGCATTCCTGATATTGGTTCTAATCGAGAACAGCTTCCTTGGCTAGAAGTGAAGAAAGAAATGACAGAAGAGAAAGGACTTTCTTCAGACGTCGCTGATAAGATTGGAGAGTATGTCAAGCACAAAGGTAGGCGACCCTGATTTTGCGCAGAGTTAGATATCTCATCCCTTTCATCATACAGGTGGCCCGTCCACTACTCGATCTTTTGAAAGCAGATGCCACTCTCATGGCAAACCCGAGCACCAAGCAGGGTATTTCAGACATGGATATTCTCTTTACTCTCCTGCGTGCTTACAAAGTGCTGGACAAAGTAGGCTCATTTTTCGTGAATCAGCACATGACATGACACAGGATGAGATACAGCTCTACAAAAACAACCGCAGCGTCGGTACCCCAGCGTCTCAAGAACAAACGCAAAAGAAATCTGACAACTACCAAGAGCGTCCAGTCAAGAAACACGCTGGTGACGTCGAAGTGGTCGTCGATCACTGTAAGTGTCTATTCCCCCGCTTAACCAACCATTAACGCCCTTTTCACAGATTATTTGCGTCCAGAGGTGGGCGTAAAACAGCGCAAGGAGTCTCCCAGCCCTCGCCGCTGCTGGTCCAGCCAAAAAACATGCCGCGACGCTGTTGAGAATGTGCCAGAACAGGTGAGTTGTTTAAACTTAAGATTTTACTTGTCACCTATATCATCTACAGACGCTCTACTATCGCCGCAGACGAGACGGGATGTAAACTGTGTTGTTGGAGACACGCCAAAGGCACTAGACAACATTATGCGGAACTGCATATGTACACCGGAGTGGTGCATGAAAGGGGCTCAATTGGTGCGCGCACGTGGAGGGGACGTCATCCTTAGACATACGCTGCCGCCGGGTAGCAGCTTTAGTGAGTGCCCCACGTCATACATGCTCCGGAAAAATCCGGACTGAGTTTCATTTCCATTCTCTATATAAACCTCGTCTTGTCGTTACTGCAACCCTTTTTCCTGTTACTATACCATATCTGTAGGCGCGCACTTGTAAAAGCGGTCCGGTTTTTTGCCGTTACTATACCCATATACCAGTACATACATACATACATACATTATTCAATATCATGATCCTTGGTCGCGACGGAGGCAGCTCTGATGGGACTGTTGCTACTGTAGTCCACCCTGATAGCTCTACAGGGATCATCAGCCCTGCTGCAGCACCAATACTAGAACAGCCTGCTGCGCTTGCCTCATCACTATCTATCACTGACACTCCCATCAAACGGGAAAGTTCCACGTTGCTACCCTTCACGACCCTGTCACGATGTCGAGTCGATACGCTTAACTCCATGGGAAAGGAGATGCAAGATTATATGTTGGCCCGATGCTGGTAAAGGACTTCATCGACAAGTTCCTACCAAACCCTGGAGATAATGACATCTCGGACTTCACTTCGCGCTTCGCTTCGGCCTCAGAATCCGATGTGTTCAATTTGCGATCAATTCAAAGAGAGCAGGACGTTTATCAACCATTCGTGAGTCACCTTGCACCTATCAATATGTGATTATTGACAGTCTTAAGTACAGATTAACAGGCATGCAAGACTTCGCCCCTCAATTATCATTTGTGAACACTTCAAAAAATGCAGATACGAAGAACTGCTCATCATTTACGTTCAATGTCATGCCGGACGTATGCGTATACGCCGATGGAACATCTGACGGCTGTGATATTACCAAAGCCGAAGTGCACATCGAATTCAAGTGGAATGATGCTCTCGACGCATTCAAGCAAAAATCCTGGAGTCGATAAGCCTATCGTTCTCAGACTGATAAGGCATTCGATACACTCGAGTCAAATAACGAGCTATGCTGCCGCTCAGCTCAGGTGCTCAATATTGTACCCATTTATTCTCCGTCCTCATCATTGCTAATCGTGCTCGTCTTATCAGATGGATAGGGAGGGGGCTATCGTCACGAACAGCCTTTGATTACCAGCACGAACCTCACTTGGCCGATTTCTTTTATCGTTTCGCACGAGCATCGCCTGCACTGCGTTGGTGTCGATACTTCCGTGACGGTAGCTAGCGACGAAGAAGCTACCCTTGCAAGGACAGCGTATTAAACTTGCCCCTACATACGCATGTTCAAAGTTGCGGTCCCTCGGGATCCAGCTGTCGAAAACTCTGGCTGTTGACCCTCATTATTCCTCAACCTGTTGCAACGGTTTATCCGCTTGTGGCCGTTGGACCTCGCACGTGCCCTGCGTTTGACATCTTCAACAAGACGGTTGTGATGTTCAGGACTCTGGCGCGTGTCGATCAAGGATTGTTCCCCCCGGAAGGCGAAACTTACAAACTATTAAAGTCAAACAAAGTTCGCAACGTCGCGACATGCATCGCATTTCACGATGTAATCCACCCTGTCCCCCAGCAAAACACCCAGACCGTCAAGTTTAGGAACGCCGAATGGGCGTGTCCTAACCAAGCTGTCACTCCTCACACTCTTCACCGCCTGGTTCTCGATATCGTGGGTAGAAGTTGACTGACTTCGAGAGCTCTCGTCAACTTGTTCAGTCTGTTCGTGACGCATTGATTGGTATGTATTTTTAAACCTGAAGCCTCGCATATTTATCTGATGTCCCTACTATCCAGCCCATCACGATGCATTTGAAAACGCAAAAATATTACACCGAGATCTCAGCGTCGGGAATATCGTCATTTACCGAGGGAAGGGGTTCCTTATCGATTGGGACCTAGCAAAGCTACTCATTATCCAGGGTCCTCGACAGACGACCCGTACGGTATGTTCAATTCACGCTCAAACTCATATTGCACTGACTTTGCTGTTACTCAGGGAACCTGGCAGTTTATGTCCGCTCACCTCGTCAAAAACATCC